GATGTCAGCAGAGGGAGACAGGAGACTCCCACTTCCTGTGTGGTGGCTCGCTCGGGGCCCAGTGCATCCTGGGACAAGTGCCCAGAAGCCCCCGAGGCCCGTGCGGGAATGTGCCCAGACCTGACTGGACCCCCGGGCGGGGGGCTGCCCCCAACTGGGGCGGGCAGGCCGGGGCGTCAGTGCTCACGCCCCGGGCAGGCCAAACGAACGATCTGTTTTTATGTATCGACCCAGGCGGTGCGTGCTCTCTCCGGAGACACTTTCTGATTAACAAAGAAATAACTTAAGAATTGATTGATTATCTTAATAAAATGTGCAAACCCGGTGTTTCTGAGACCATGAGTGGGCGGGGGGGTGCAGGGAAAGGTAAGTTTGGTCTCTAGGCCCACAGTCCGCGCTCTGCTCGTGGGCTCAGAGCCGGGGCCCCGCCCCACACAGGGCCAGTGAGCAAATGCAGAGGCCTGGGCCCTGCCCCGGGGCTCGGGTCTGGGGGTGACTCCCCGGAGGTCCCAGGGTGCGAGTGCAGTTGGGGCGGCCACCTCCGAGAGTCAGGCAAGTGGGGTGGCTTTTGACGAACGGGCTTTGTGCCGGGGACAGAGCCTTCCCTCCCGCGGGGAGGTGGGCCCCGGTGGTGCGGCAGGCAGGGCAGGTGCGGCCTCCTGACACCGAACCTCTGCCGGGCCGCGTGGAAGGTAATAACAGCAAGGGACCCCGACCCCAGGCGGCGTTCGCCCTCCCGCGCTCTTGCCGCGGAGCCTTCCCTGCTCTGCCCGCTCGCAGAGAGGCTGAGCAAGGCACGGGGGGTCAAGGAACAAGCCCCTGACACCCGGGGTGAGCCCTGTGGCTAGAAAAAAGGCACGTGACTTTATTTCTCGCAGCATCTGGAACCCGGGCCGCGGCCTGCCCTCCCAGTTGCTGGGACGTTAGGGACTCGCCGCGGAAGCCAGCCAGACCCTCCCTGGGGGCCGGCCCGGTGGCCCCTTCTCGCGTCGGAGGCATGTGGGCCGGCTCTGGCCCCAAACACCTGTCACGGCCCCCACGCCCCGCTGCCGATGTCCGGGTTCACACTTGCTGACCTCAAATCTGACACAGCCGCCTCTGCCGAAAAATAAACCCAGGTGACCGCAGGGCCTGGCCGCGCCGCGTCCCACCCCCGGGAACCCGAGCGGCAGCCCTGGTCCTGACCGTCGCGGCCGGACCGCACTTCCTGTGTTTGTCCTTCACGGGCCCTGGAGGTGGCTGGCGGGAAATGCGGATGCGGGGCGGGGCGGGGCCTGGCCCGCCTCCAGGGCCGCAGGAGGGCAGCCTGGCTCAGCTGGCTCCCGACTCACCGAGCGGCCAGGGACCTCCTCCAGCTGCGGGCGGTTAGCGCCCAAATCCTGCAAATAAAGTTCTCCGGAGCCCAACACCTGGTGCCTGCCCTTCGCTCCGTCCTTCCCTACCAAACCCATTTGTCTTTGTTCCTTGCCCTGCCCGCCTCGAGCACAGGCGAGGGGCAGCCCCTACACAGAAGACAGGCAGTGCGTCCCGCGCGCCCCGCGCCAGGCCACTGTCCCCTGCTGCCCAGGGGAACCTGTCTCCTGGGCCGCTTCTCCCTCACTGTCCATCCCGCACGCTTGCGGGCAGACACCGCCCAGTTTCACAAAAACAGAAACGCCCGGCCCCCATGCTGACTGCCGGCCACCACCCTGGGCTCCCAGCCTGTGCCCCCACAGGCACCCTCCGCCGAGCCCATCCTTCCTCCAAGAAGTACCACCTCTGGCTGCGGCCGGTGTGGCTCAGCGGATGGATCGCCGGCCTGTGAACCGCCCTGGTTCAATTCCTAATCAGGACACAGGCCTGGGTTGCGGGCCAGGTCCCCGTAGGGCGCACGTGAGAGGCAACCACACATCGATGATTCTCTTCCTCTTTCTCCTTCCCTTCCCCTCTCTCTAAAAAAATAAAATAAAACCTTCCACCTCCAGGAGCCACGCTGACTGCCCAGGTTCAGTGGTCCAGCCCCAGGAAGGCTTGTCCCAAGCCTGGAGGCCCAGCCGCTCTTGCCGCCTGTGGGAGGCAGCTCTCCAGGCTGGTGGCCCGGGCCTCCCCCTGTGGAGACTTGCCACCCAGACAAGTGGGAAGGGGCCGGGTTCGGGCAAACTGCCGCTCTGCCGCGCTAACGCCCTGACGCTGGGCTCCACCCCGCCCACAGAGAGGCTGCCAATTACCTGCATCAGAAACACCGGGACTGCCCACCCCCTGCAGGCGAAACCTGGGCTGCTTATTGAAAGCGGATTTCCAGGCTCGCCCCGGACCGAGAGAACTACATTCGCACGTCCCATGTGGGGCCCAGGAATCTGCGTTTTTAACCAATGTCCCAGTGTCCTAAGGACATTTGCCAACAATTGTCCTTCACTTTACAAATCACATTCTAATTTTTTTTTAAAGGTTTTATTTATTTTTAGAGAGGAGAAAGGAGGGAGAGAAACATCCATGCGTGGCTGCCTCTTGCACGCCCCCTGCTGGGGACCTGGCCCGCAACCCAGGCATGTGCCCTGCCTGAGAATCATCGAACTGGCGACTCTTTGGTTCGCAGGTTGGTGTTCAACCCACTGAGCCACACCAGCCAGGGCTCATTTCGATTTTCTGTTGGCACTGATCCTCCCGGTATCAGTGCAGGTCGACAGCCACCGGGAGCTTGGGGTCAGGAGAAAGACGAGGGCTCTGTGGGCCTGAGACACGGGCAGCTGCCCTGCATTAGCCGCCACCCAGGGGAGAAGGGAGACGGGGAGCGAGGGGTCCTCAGAGGAGGCGGTGCCCCGGCGGGGTTTTGACGTGTGTGCAGGAGCTCGCTAGAGAGCTGGGGATGGGTGAGCAGTCCCAGCTTCCGTCTGAGAGGCGGGGCCGGGAGAAAACCAAACAAGGTGGGGCAAGAGGACCCTCGGGGGGGCGGGGCGCTGAGGACCGGCTGGGTGCGGCTGGAGACAGACAGGCGGGCCCTCCAAGGGCACCGGGGAGCCGTGAGCTCTCCCTGCACCCTGCAAATGCCTGGATGTCGGGTCCGGCCACTGGCCTTCGACCGGGGGGCCCACTCTGAGGCTGGGGGCAGAGATGGCCAGGCTCCTGAAACATGTGCTCCCCCACGCACACCCCAGGCCGCTCCGGCCTGGCCACGGCTGAGGGAGGTGCCCTGGGATCCTGGGTGGTATCGGCACGTGTGGCTGGCACCTGGCGGCGGGTTGTGAACGGCACCGCCAGGCCCGCCCTGGGCTCCAGGTGGAGGCGCTTGAGCCCTGAAAGGTGGGAACGGGGCCCAGGCTGGGACCTTCTGCTGGCCCAACAGTGCCACCTGCCTGTCGCCCGCAGCACTGCAGCCGGGCGCCGGCTGAGCCCCGGCAGTGCCACGTGAGGCCGGGCGCAGTGCGCAGGCGAGCACACAGGGCTCCGAGGGCACTCGGAGCGTCCCCAGGGCCACACAGAACGTCACCACGCGGCCTGGAGACCAGGCCCCGCGGCTCCAAAGCTCTCTGCCCATCTCACCTCCTGGGTCAGGTCCCCGGATGCAGACTGCGCCCCTCCCCCCCACACCCTTGGACCTCCCGGTCCAGCTTGGAGGCCAGGCAGGGACAGCGGCTTTTTAAAAAAGGGTTTTTGTTTTTTGTTTTTTGTTTTGTTAGAGTGGGGAAAAGGAAGAAGAGAGAAACATCTACCGGTTGCCTCCTGCGCACCCCCAGGCAGGGACCGGGCCTGCAACCCAGGCCTGCGTGGGACGGTGCTCAGCCAACCGAGTCAGGGTGGGTGGTTCTCTCCCCTCCAGTGCACCCCGTTCTCTGCTGCTCCCAAACCCTGCGGGGCACCGAATGTGAGGCGGAAGTCCGGCACCCGGCGAGGAACCGGGCGTGCCGGCCTGTTCATGAGCCCAGTGGCCCCTCTGGGTGCCCGGGGTGGTTGTCCCTGCGTGGCCCGAGAGGCCAGCATGCCTGGGCCTCCTGAGCCAAGAGGCTGAGGGACAGGGACGGAGAGGGCTCCAGGACCACAGGACCCTGGGCTTAGCCTGACTTGAGCAGAGACCCCTCTTTGCAGGCTGCCTGGTGGGGCTCACCCTTTCGGCCCCAGACCTCCCTCACTTCTGAGAGCCCCCAAAGGTTTCAGGATCCTGGGAACCCAGGCCACCCCTGGCAGGACTCAGCCGGAGGGGCCGAGTCTCCTGGCCAATGGTCCGCTGAGGACCCTCGCCCCACAGGGCAGGACTTCTGCTCGGAGAAGACAGTGGGCGCCGGCGGTCCCAGGTCAGAGCCACCCTGGGGGCCGCGGGGTGGCCGAGGGGCTGTGTGGCTTCACTTCAGCGCCTTCCCTGAGAGCCTGCCACACCCTGGGCAGTTGGGCTCGGGGACGGGATGGCGCGCAGGTGGGCGGCAAGGTCTCCCGAACGCACGCCCTGCCAGCCAGGCACCCGATCTGGCAGCGGACTGAGTTTACATGCAGGGCCCAGAGGCCGCAGAGCTTTGAGCAAAGTGGAGGCAGGCTGGGTGGGCAGGAGGGCGAAGGTCCAGAGGCCACGGCGCCCCCCACAGGCAAAGAGGGACATGTCAGAGAGCCGCAGCCTGTCCGTGCACATGGGCGGCCGTTCCAGGACCCCAGTGGGAGAGCTGTTTTCTTCTCTGCCCCGACGTCAAAGCCAGCAGTGGCGGCTCGTCCGCTGGTGGCGCCTGGGACGCCCTCGTGGGGTCAGACTTACTGTGGGGTACACACACTCGCCTGCAGAGGGGCCCGGGCTGCTGAGTGAGGGGGACGCTCCCCCGCTGGGGCCACGCGCCAGCTGTCCCTGACCCCCGGTCGCCTGCCCTCCGGTGTCTAGTCTGAGACAGAGAAGCAGCCTCTGCAACTCGAGTATAATTTGCTTTTTAATGAGAACGTGTGTAAATGACATACGCCACCGCCGGGCACAGATGACGGTCACAGAACACCCATCCGATGCATTCTGCCCGAGGGGGGAGGGAGGGCGGGCGGGGGGCGGCGGGCTGGCGGCCCCGCCCTCGGCCTGCGGACGATGGGTCACCAACGGGGGCCTGCTGGCGCCCTTGAACGGTAAGCAATTGAAAGCACAGCAGCAATAATACTGGGTAAGTCCTTCCTTGCGTAAAACATCTGAATTAATTAATTGAAGGTATCAAAAATATACCCTGTAAACCAATACATCATCTACACCGGCCCTTCTTTCCCGTCGCCGTGGCGACGATGCACGAGAACGACAGTCCAGGTCCTCCGGCCGCTCGCCGGGGCCGCCCCCGGCCCTTCCGCCGGCCCGTCCGCCCGACCTTGTTTCCAGCAGTCTCGGTGGCTGGGGCAGCCCGCGGGGACCGGGACCAGAGCGCGGGGAGTTGGACAGGGACCATGTCCGTCTGTCCAGAGCGCTAAGCGGGATGGGGGTGGAGGAAGGGTGCGGGGGCTGCTCGCTCAGTTTCGACTTTGGTTCCAAATGCATGAAGGGGGGAGGCAGCGGCGTGGGAGCGCGCGGTCATCCTGCGTTGGGTCCCTGGCCACCCCAGCCTCGTGCGTGTGGCTGCCGCACGCGGGCTGCGCCGCCTCCCCGGCCCCTCCCCTCCCGAGCACCAGGTAAACATCCCCTGAGTAAGGTCACTGCGCAGGGCCAGCCGGGGTGGGAGTCCCAGTTAAGGCTTTAGACAGGCAAGGATGCCGGCTCTGGACGGACGGACGGACGGACGGATGCGCAGGCCGACTCTGGGGCTCCTTCCTCGGCTGGGGGAGTCGGAGCCTCCCGCTTCTCACCCGGCTGCTCGGGACGCTCGTGGAAGGTCACTCGCTGTCGGAGAGCGTCTCGTACTGCTCGCAGAGCAGCGGCTTGGGCTCCTCGTCCCAGGCGTGATGGGGGCCGGCGAGGGGCCCGCTGCCCGGGGGCAGGCCCGGCGGGGGCGGGGAGGTCATGACGCCCGCCTGCAGCCGCATGATCAGGGGGTTGTAGGGGAACGGCGTGGAACCTGCCGGAGAGACCAGGAGAGACGCCCGGGGGCCGGGTGAGCCAGGCAGCCCGCCATGCCAGCCCCAGCCCCACCAAACTCCCAGATGTTTCTCAAAACTGCCCAGGCGCCTCCTCGAGGTCCCAGTCCTGCCCCGGGGTCTGCTCCGCAGCTGATAAACCCCGTGAACACGCGCTGACCACGCTCCTCCCCTCAGCCCCGCAGGGCTTCCCCCGCTCCTCAGGAAAGCCTGGCACCCAGCAGCCCACCAAGCCCGCACCCCCTCCGCCCTCTGGTCAGGACCAGAGGCCAGGCCCCCAGGACGGCCCCCGACGCCCTTTCCCTCCGCCTGCACCACTTCCAGAAGCTTCCTGACCACTGAGCAGTTTTGGAGAAGCCGACCCCGTGCCCAGTTGGCGCTCAGCCTGGTGACCCACGCAGCCCGCGGCCTCCCCGCAACACTGCCCCAGTGCGCACCCGCAGACGAGGGGCGGTCCTCCCACACGCGGTTGGTGAGCGGTGTCCGGCGGCTGCAGTCCCCCTCCGAGTGCACCGAGGAGACGGAGGGGGGCCGGTCCCCGGACGCCAGGCCCGGGGCTGGGGACTTGGCTTTTCGGCTGCCGGGTCTGCCAGAGACTTTGGCCTTCCCGCCGCCACCTGTGGGAGACATGTGGGAGGGGCCATGTTGGACGGCCAGGAGAGTGTGCACACCGCGGGGTCGGGGGCACCGCCGGCCTGGCCAGCTGGCCAGGCCGGCCGGGAGCCGGGGCTCGGAGGGGACTTTTTCCTGGAGGGGCGGGCTGATCGTCTGCCAAGCCCTCAGGCCGCCCTGAGGCCCCCCCTACCCACCCAGCGGCTGAGACCCTGCGCATGAGGCCTCGGGCCTCCGGCTTGGCCCGGACCACTGCCCTGGACCGTGCGGAACTGGGCAGAGAAGCCAGGAGCCCCAAGGCCAGACCTGGGCTTCCGTCAAGACCAGGGACTTCCTGAGGCCACAGGGTCCAGGCCAGACCAACGGGCCTGAGCGCCCCGCCTGGCCCTTGCTGACACGCAGAGCGTGACGAGGACCCTGCAACCGGGCAGAGGGGAGCCGGCCCCTCTGGGTGGGGGGCGGGCACACAGACACCGGTCCCCTCCCAGCGGCCCGCGGGCCGGCAGCGGACACGCACGGCGGCCCCACAGGCCTCTCGGCCAGGGCCCGGGGGCCCCTGCAACCCTCCAGAGTGGGCGGGTCCTCGCTGCAGCCTGACACCCCCCCCCGCCCCCACCCTGAGACACACAGACAGGCCAGGACCGGCAGCCCGAGTCCGGCAGGGAGGGAGGCAGGCAGGGCTCGGGCGGCAGGGCGCGTGGTTTTACAAAAGCAGCAGCTCCTTCGGGCACGGTGGCCGAGGGGGGCCGGGCCACGTGGACACGCGGGGGCGCCCGCCCAGCGAGGGGATTAGGCAACTCCAGAACCACGTCAAACACGCACAAAAATAGTCAGAAGCTCCGAAGCTGGAGGGGGGTCGGTGAGAGGAACTGGAGGCAGGAGGATTAATGACACCGGGTGGGGTGGGGGGGCGCAGACGGGGCGGGCGGGGGCCCAGGCGGAGGAGCCTGCAGACCTGGCGAGGTGAGGGCGTGTTCGCTCCGTCCGTCAGCAGCGGTTACGGGCAGAGCAGCGGGCAGGCCGGCACTGGCACTCAGAGCGTTAAAAGCATTGGCGCCGAGCGGGGGCTCCTCCCACTGATCATATTTACCCATGAGCGCCTTTCTAATAATGGCCTCCAGCCCCATGTTGGTGCTGGCATGCTCCTGCACCGCCTGGCTTCGGCAGGTCATGAGGCCTGGGAGAGAGACACACACACACAGGGGCCGAGGGGCAACGGAGAGGGCAGCGGGGGGAGGGGGGGAGAGAGAATACACAGTGAGCACATTTTGGCAAAGCAACACGTCCTTTATTCCCGACCCCCTCGGCCTTCCTGCGGGGGCGGGGGCGGGGGGGCAGGGCTCCCGCTGACGGGCCCTGGGGAGGTTGGGGGGACGTCCCCGGCCTCCTTTCTCCTCTGCCCTCTGGGAGATCCCTCTGCCCGCCTCGTCCCGGCTGGGGCTACTTTTAAAAATTCCAAGTAGCCTTAAAAAACGGGGCCAGAGGGCTGCCCTGCTTGGGGAAGTGGCCGCTGGGAAACGGAGCCAGGCCGCCCGAGCTCGGTACTGCAGTGCGGGCAGCGGGCACAGGGAGGGGGGCTCGGGAGGGAGTGGCCAGACGCTCCGCCCGCTGCCCCGCCCACGAGGCCTGGCGCCCACAGCCCCCCGCTGCCCCCCAGGCTGGGCCTATGTCTCCCCACCCGGGAGCCACGAGGAGAGAGAGGTGCAGAGACGGACGGTGAGGTGGGTCGTAGCCATGCAGTTACGGTGCGCGCGGGGGACAGGGCAGAGCTCGAGACAATTGCGTGACCGCCCCAGCCCGGCCACCCCATCACCGAGTGGTCGAGTCAACACACAGGTCCCAGACCGATCCTTCCAGACACCCGCTGCGAAGTCACGTTAATCAAGCCTCCTTTTCCGCTGACCCGTTTTCCTGACCCCTTCTTGTTCCCTTGTGACCCGTTCTGGGGACTTTTCCAAACCCTGGGAAATGTGTCTGTTTTCAGCTAAACCAGACTTGGCCGGCAAAAGCCCCAAGTCCACTCCACCTGCCGTTGGGCGGCGGGCGACACCTCCACGACCGGCGACCCTTCCGCGCAGCAGAAGGTGCGGGCACCCTGGGGGCCCCCCACCCCGGGCAGCTCTCGGCCGCCCCACCCCGCCCCGCCCGTCCCCCCAGAGCAGCAACTGCGTTCGCTGTTTCCTTTCTCATACGCCCTCCCGACCTCGCGGCTGTGTTCTGGCCGCATTTCATCAGCACTTCCGAAAAAATAAATAAATAAATAAGGCCATACCCTCAAGAAAAAGCAAAATTTCCAGCAGGAGTGAGTGCTAACGGGGGGGAAAAAGACTTTACGATCCCACACAGTAAGAAAACACAGGGAAAGTAGAAACGGCGCCAGGACCCAGGCCGCGACGGACGTGGGTCAGACCGGGGCCTGAGCCGAGCACGGACGTCCCCGCGGCTCCCTCTGCGAAGGCCGCATTTGAGGCTGGGCCTGAGCAGCACAGCCCTGAACCTGCGCAAAGTCTTTTGTGGGGGCTAAACAGCTTAAAAAAAAACAACAACAACAACTATAATTTACAAGTTTTAGCACAAATCTTCATTGTACCCGTGGTATGAATGTGCACAGACACGTGCACCTGTGTATCTAGCTGCCTATGTCAAGATTTGGAACATTCCAGAAACGGTCATTTCTCGGTGTTGTGTTGTTTGGGATACGTGGCCTGGCTGAGGCCAGAGGTGTCTCTGGGTAGACGACGCAGCCTGGTGGGGACCCCACTTGGAGGCTGTCCTTTGCTCACCCGGGTCCCGGGGTGACATCACAGTCCCTAGCACATGCCTCCGCCCCCCTGGCCTCAGGCTGCCACCGAAGGACCAGAGCGCAGAGGTGACTGCGCCACCAAGGCCCCAGTTGCACCGCGCGGCGGGTGCGGACCCCATGCCAGACGCGGCGCCACGCGGTCCTTCCCGCGCAGAAACGCACGGCGCAGCCCCTGCCGCCCCCAGGCCCCGCCCCCAAGCCCAAAGCATCACAAAAGCCTTAAGTTTTGGCTTAAAAATGGTGTGAATCGCAGACCCAGCTCTGAAATACACCGGCATTGTTTCCTCCGCGTCCTGCCTTGGATTTCCAAGTAAAACGGATGCTCTAATTGTAAAAAACGGCCACGTGGACCCTGGGTAAAGCCACACACCCTGAACACGGGTCCGCTCCCCGCCCGCACCCCGCAGGCCCCAGGGGGGACGCAGCAGGCAGGCCGGGGAGGTCCCCAGGCAGCCGCGTGTGCATGCCGCACAGCGCTGGGCACACCATGGCCTTGGAATCCAGCTCCTTGCCCAGCCTCGCTGGGCGCCCACAGGGCTGGCGCAGCCCAGAGGAGGGGACACAGGGGAACGAAGGTCCCCCGTGACCTCCGCGGCTAGGGTCCCCCAGTGCCCCTCCTGCCTGATCTCCTCAGGGCGCAGCCGTGCTGGGCGGGGGCAGGGGCGGGAGGGAGGCAGCTGTGTAGCTGGGACTGGCTGTTACCTGCTCCCGTGATGGCCGGCATGTTGAAGATCTCCGTCCCGGGCTGGCCGATGCCTGCGGAGGGACGAGACGGGTGAGACCGACAGCCGCCGGGCCCCAGGGAGCCATCCCCGCCGCCAGCCGCCTGGCCCGGGCACACCCGGGAGCTGGCTCCGTGCAGAGAGGTTCCTGCGCTTGTGGGGCCCGCGGCTGTCCTGCCAGCCAGTGCACGTGGGCTGCTGGCCCCCTGGCCCGGGCGCCGCCCTGGCCGGTGACTCTGCAGGGTTTCCGGTCTGGTCCCGGGAGAGGAAAGGCCCCCCACGACGCCCCTCCCTGTAAGGCGTCCTGACCTCCCTCCTCCTGAGAGCGGCTCTGGACTGGCGCCCTGCCGCAGGGCGGGGCTCAGCTGGGGTTCACCGCCCTGTCCGCCCACGTGGGGAGGAGTCACAAATGGGGCGAGCACCGTGAACGGGAGACACCCAGGGCCCTCATGGGGCTCTGACCCCAACCCCTGGTGCCTGTGTGGGCTGAGCAGACACGTCTGTGCACATACTCAGAGCGCCTCCGTGTGCGGGCTGTTCCGGCTCCTGCCCTGCGAGCCCCCGCGTGCCTGAGGACGCCCCGCTGAGCGTGGGGTGAGGGGCCATGGTGGGGGCCGCGGGCCGCCCGGCCCCGGATCCCCAGCCCACCCCCGGCCGGCTGGCCCCAGCCCCGCCGCGGCCCCTTACTGTATTCGGGCTCGCTGCGGTTGTGGGTGCTCAGCTTCTTGTTGATCTCCTGTTTCTTGGACTTGACCATGGCCGAGTTGCTCTCGGTCAGCTTGCTGAAGAAGGCCGGCGGCTGGCTGGTGTTGCCTGGAGACTTGGAGCCCATCCTGCTGCGAGAGCAGACACCCAGCTCAATTCCCCCGCCACTACCGCCGCCGGCACACCTCCGACGACGGAGCCCTCACCACCTGCGCCGCCTCAGAAATCTGAAGCCACGCTTCTCCCCCACCCCTCGGAGCCCCGCCCGTCCAGTCGCTGCTGTAGCCCACCTGTCCTGGGCGTGGGGGATCTCTGGGCGGCCCCGGCTGCCCCGGCGGGCCACTCTGTCTACCCGCGACAGCCCTTCCTGCCACACGCACCGGAAGAAGCCGCGGGAGCCAGGAGTGGCTTTAGACTGTGTCCTGCCGGAGGCTGGCCGGCCTGCCTGCTTCTGTGCCTCCAGCCCACCCGGAGCCCCACTCGGCCCAGCACATGCAGCCCCTTTCTTGGAGCCTCCCCGCCGCCAGGGCCCAGCAAGAGCTGAGAGATGTCAGCCCGGGGCATGGGAAGCTACCACTAAGGTCCCCTGGGCTCGCGACATTTGCTTGGCAGGTCTGAGGAGTCCCCGCTGTGCATGGAAGCCTTTGTGAGCCCCCGAGGCCGCGGGTCAGCAAGCCGCTGAGTCTTAAGCATCCCTGACAGGGGCACAGGGGGCAGGCATTAAATTACCTGGGCTCCACCTGCTCCCCATCCCGGTATAGCAGGGGGTACATGGCGCCCCGTGGATGCCCGGGCTCAGCCCCGCTCTCCGGCGGGGACACTGGCTCGATGCCGTCCTCACCACTGCCCAGGGCTGCGGCTTTGCTTGGCTCTGGAGACCTGGGCAGAGAGAAGGTCCCGGCTGTGGTCAGAGCTCAGCACGGCTCCCAGGGGGACGCGGCCCACTCTGCACGCCCCCCATGCCGGCCTCACTCTACACCAGGACTCGGCTCGCTCTTCCTGGGGGGAGCCACGCGGCAGGCGCTTTCGGGGACGGGGCTGCCTGCAGTCTCTGCTGTATGTTCTTTTTTTACAGCATTTTCAAGACATAAAGCCGCCCTTTGCCCCGGACCGTGCAAACAGGCGGGGGCTGGGTTTGGCCCGCGGACAACAGTCTGCAGACCCTGCCTGGGCCCCCTACCAGGCGCCCCGCTGCTCCCACAGACGTCCTGCGGTCTCCCCACCTCTGTGCTTCATTCGGCCGGTGCCCCCCACCCGGAACGGCTCCTTCCCCGAGGCTGGGGACGACCTTTCCCTTCTCCAGCGCCCCGGCCGGCAGCCAGGGCCGTGAGCGTGCGTGCATGTGCTGGGAGGCCACTCTCTCATCTCAAGGCTCTGGTTCGAATCCCAGCTCCACCACTTATTGGCTGTGCCTCTGTGGGCAAGCGAAGTCACATCTCATGCCTTAGTTTCTTCCTCTGTGAAATGGGGGCAAGGCTGCCTAAGCTCCCTGGGGCTGCGGTGAGAAGCCTAGTTACACAGGTAAGGGCTTAGCTCCGTGCCTGGAACCCATGACACCAGCTATTACCTATTGGCCGTGACCTTGGACTAGCGCTCCCTTCTCCCCAGGCCTCAGCCTCTCTTCCGCATGCCGGCGGCACGTGGCAGCTGCCTGACCAAGGCCTCCCAGTGGCCGACCAGCGAGGGGCACCTGCCCCCCAGCGCTCACCTCTTGCCCCCTTCGCTGTGGGGGGAGCCACGGGCGGGGGCGCCATGGTCCGGGGGCGGGAGGTAGAGGTCGCTGGGGGGCCGGCGCAGGTCCAGGACGGGGCAGCTGGCTCCGGGGAAGGAGTAGAGGGGGGCGGGGAGGGGCGCGCTGAGCTGCTGCGGGTGGTGCCTCGTGTAGTCCTGCGTGATGACCTCCTGCAGACGGGGGCGGGGGTCAGGCAGCTGCCAGCCCTCCCGCCAGCGCCTTCTTGGGGGGGGGGAGAGGGGTGGGGGCCGGACAGGGCAGAGGACAGAGCCGCGTGGGTGGGACGCAGGTCGTGGGCTCAGAATGCGGCATCAGCAGGGTGAGGCACAGCAACGGTGTCCGCCGCGGAGACCTGGGGGTCCCCAGGCCGCAGTCCCGGGCCGTGGTTGACCCACCCGACCAAGGGGCTGGCTGTGTGTGGCCCCCCGCCCCCGCCCTCGGGTCCAGTCCCACCCCAGGTGCACAGGTGCCGGGGAGGGGCAGTTACACTGATGTGCTGAGCCAGGGTGACGACCCGCTGGTGACCCTTGACCCCCGGGGCGGCCTGCAGCAGAGGGCCGGAGGGCTGGCTCTCGGAGAGCGGCCGCAGGTGCGGGAGGTGCACGGCCTCGCTGCCCAGCTTCGCGGAGCCTGCGGGCCGAGCAGAGCGGGTCAGGGGCGGGGGCGGCTGCCCGGATGGCGGCTGGGGGACGGGGCGGCCCCCCGGCTGCCGCGTCACGACCGTCCCCGTCTCCCGGGGCCGCGGGCGCAGGGGCAGGGGCCGACCTGGCTGCTTGTGACGCAGGTCCCCCTCCAGGAGGCCCTTGTCCAGCTCCTCGAGGTGCTTGGGGAGCCCCTTGTCGTGGGTCAGGCTGGGCGAGCTCACAGGGCTGACGGGCTCCACCCCGTCGGGGCTGTAGCTGCTGCCGTGGTGGCCTGCGGCAGGGCGGGCCCGGGTCAGGCCGGGCCTGGACTCCCAGCCGCTGCCCTCCCGGCCCCGCCCCCTGCCCGCCCGCACGGAGGACCCCGGGCCGGAGCTGGCGCGTGGGGCGCGCCGAGGAGGAAGGAAGAGAGGACGGCAGACAGAGGTGGGTGGGGGAGAAAGGAGCCCGGGAGATGCAGGCAGGTGGGGGTGGGGGGGACCTGAGGAGATAGCGGGAGAGACACGCCGCTGAGACGGGACACGGCAGACCCGAGGGTGGCGGCGAGGGCGCGGGCGGGTCGCTGGGGCAGGCAGCGTGGCGCCGTGGTGGCCAGAGGGGGCGACGTCCGTGGGGGGTACGCCAGGGAGCGACGCTCCAGGCCCAGGGGCCCCCACGGCCAGCCAAGGGGAAGCCGGGGAGGGGGCCCGGAGCGGGGAGGCGGGGCGCAGAGGCCTCCCCCTTCCCCTGCACGCGGGGTGGTGCGTCAGCAAGCGGGACACGGGCCAGGGCACCCCCGGGGTTCCCTCGTAGCCTGGGGAGGACGCTGGGGCCAGGCTCCCAGCTCCTCCTGGGAAGTGGGGTGCTGCTCTCCCCGCCCCTCCCCGCCTTCCTCCGCGGGCGTCCTCCTAAGCAAACTCATCCATCCACGCCTGGCAGCAGGCCGGGCGGAGCAGAGCCCGCTGCGGCCCACGCCCTGCCCCCCAGACAAAGGCGCAGAAGAGGGGCCAGCGACGGAAGGGTGGCAGAAGCCAAAACCACAGATCCACTCATTGAAGGAAAAAAAGCAAAAATCAAAAAGAAAAATGTCATGATAAAAAAAGTCACAATGTGCAAACGACGGGGCACCCCATCAGAGCGTGCAATCGACAAAGACGAGTTTAAAAACCAAATACCAAAACCAACGAAAAAGGGGCGGGGGGGATAAAAAGCAGAGATCTGTAAGTATCTTTGGGCCACAGGCGGGCGGGCGGCGGCGGGCCGGAATCTTACCGTCGCGAGTGGAGTCGGCGGCCAGCGAACCTCCTTCTCGCGGCCCTTTATCGGGAGCAATTTGACGCGTGATTATCGCGTCTATGAAGGTGGCAGCTGTCAGGATGGTCTTACCCAGAGAACGGAGCTCCAGTTCCTGGATGGGAAAGGGTTTACTTTGAGTCTTTTCCCGGTGCAGGTCTGCGGCCGAGGTGGGCGGCGCCGGCGGGTCCGGGCTGGCGTGGTGGGGCGCGAGGCTCTTCGCCGGGGTGCGGGTGACGGCCGCGTGGCTGGAGGCGGGGGGCGCCAGGGCCCGGGGCTCGGAGCCCTTGCCCGGGGAGGAGGCGGGCTCCAGCCCTGAGCGGGCGGGGGGCTTGGTGAGGAAGGCGTGGCCGGTGTCCCCGCGGGGCCTCTCTGGCCGAGCGACCCTCGGGGTCTCTTTGGGCAGCAGGATGGGCTCCATAAGGGTGGGGTAGACCCCGTCCAGGGCGCTGCCCAGCGGGCAGTGGGTGGCAGGCGGGAATGTGGCCGCTGGGCGGACAGGCGAGGAGGTGGAGGCGGACCTGGGGAGGACAGCGGGCGGTCAGGCGGCTGCGGAGCCCGGCGGGGCCCCGGCACGGCCTCGCACCGACCCCGGGGGTGCGCTGTTCCCCGGGCCTGCGCCGCCCTGTGGGCACGCCCGTCCCTTTGTCCCGTTATTCATTCGTTGGCGTTATTCATTCGTTCGCTCGTTCAGACTATCGTTACAGAACTCCTGACTCAGCACCGACCGAGGTGTCAGGGACACAGGAATGAACAAGACAGAAGGGCCTTGCGTTCTGGCCGAGGAGACAGACTACAGGTGTGTTCACAAACTGAACCCCCAGCGGAGCGTGGCCGCCGCCGGACACAGCAGGCGGGCGCGATGGGCGAGGAGGACGAGGGGCTGTGCCGGCCAGCGCGTCAGGGAAATGCGCCGCCCTTTCTCGGGATGGGCATCGCTGGGGAGGGTCGGATCCAGAGCAGCCAGCGGGGAACCTGATTTCAGGGGCGTCTCCACAGGACCCTGGGCGGGGAGGGGTCCTGGGGAGCCTCCTTCCCCTCGTCGGGCAGCTCTGCCCGCGGGCCTGGGGGTCCTTGTCCCCAGAGGGGACGTGGGTCCCCTGTGAGAGGAGGCGGGCTCTGGGGGACTCTGCTGCCCTGGGTCTTGTCCAGCAACAGGGAGCCGCAGCCTTGCAGGGCCCCGCAGCGGGTTACGCGGAGGCTGGGGTCTCTGTCACAGCGCACAGTCTCCTTCTCCCCACAGACTCTCTGAACCAACAGCGGGCCCACCCCCGATCCGCCCACCCGGGCACGCCACCCCCCACCCACCCAACTCCTGGTCTGGCCACCCGCTCACCTGTCCCTGTCGCCCGACGCCCGACACCCACCCGCTCACCTGTCACCCGCACACGCGCCCACTCGCAAGCCTCACCGACCCGCCTGGAACGCCCGCCCACCCGCCCTGGCACCCGCCGAACCCCATCGCCCGCCGCCCGCCCGCCGTCCCCGTGCCAACCTGGCCCACCTCAGCACCGTGGGCGTGCCGGGCTCCGCGGGGGCGGCGGGGCCCCTCGCGCCCGCGTTGTGCAGCACACTGGGTCTCTGCTGGACGGCGTCCTGGGTCCGGGGTGAGATGGGCGAGTGCTGCAGGGGGTGGGGGTGGGGGTGGGAGGCGGGGCGGCCACCGCCCCCGCCGCCGCCGCCGCCGCCGCCGCCGCTCTGCTCGGTACCTGGCGGTGACAGCGGCCCCGGCCGTGTCAGAGGGGCCGGCCCCCCGCGGCCTGCGGGGACGTCGGGACTCGGGGGCAGGGGGCGCCTCGGATGCCTACCGGGCCTCCAGATGGGCGCGTGCTCCACCGTCGCGGTGGCCGTGAGGGCGGGCTTCTCGCGCTCCCGGTCCCGCTCCCGGTCCCTGTCGCGGTCTCGCTCGCGCTCGCGCTCGGAGGACGAGGAGGAGCTGGGCTTTGTCAAGTGGGCGGGGCCTCCTGGAACCGAAGGGCCCGCGGCTCAGCCCCCGAGTCCGGGAGGGCTGTGCCCCAGGACACCTCCCAGCCCCTGCCTCAGCCTGGCCAGGCCCTGACCCGGGGCGGCGGGAGGCGTCACCTGGGGAGAGCGGGGAGCTGCTGAGCCGGCTGCTGAAGTGCTGGGGTGCGGCGGGGAGGTAGGCCAGGCGGTCCATGGCGGTGGCTGGCGTGCCCGGTGTTGGGGGCACCAGCACGGGCAGGTGTGGCACTTGGGACAGGTCGATGATGCCTGGGGGGGTGGTTTGCAGCCAGAGGGAGTGAGGGGCCGCCCCCCTGGTGGAGGCCCCTCACCTGAACATGCTCCCCGAGCACCTCCCCCACCACTGGGCCCAGGAGCTGAGCAGTGGCCTGCCCCGCTTGCTTCAGCCTCGGTTCTTTACGGTCACCATGGAAACGCCGCGTGCGGCCGGTTTCCCCCCACCCTCCCCGGGCCCTAACCAGCACTTGGGCACTCCGGGGCATTCCGGAAGCTCTTCCCGAGGATGACCTCGCTCGCACAGGCAAAGCAACCACAGGCTGATTGCAAGTCTAGGGAACCAGGAAACCCTTAAGCCTCACATTTCCATCTTTTTTGTGAACTTCAAGGACCGTACGTGCAGGAGCGCACGTGGCCCACGCACACCCGTGTGCATGATGCACCAGGGTGTGCATGGCTCTCGGACGCCCCCGCGGGCGCTCGGTGCACGTGACCCTCCAGCACCACCAGCCAGGTCTGCGCGGCTCCTGGGGTAGCCGTGCCGCCCGGGCCTCTGAGGCGACCCCACTCTCACCGCCTCCGCAGGGACACGCGTGCCCCGGGCGTGCGTACCCCGCTGCATGCCCAGAGTGCCCGGCGCCACCCACCTCGCGGGCCGGCGGCGTAGTTGAGCGCCAGCGAGGACTCGCGGGGCGAGAGCCCGCGCAGCATGTCGGCGCGCTGGGCCACGGCGGCGGCCGCGTTGTGGTGCATCTGCTGCGAGGTGATGTAGTCGTTGATGATTGTCTGGCGGTTCTCCAGCGCCGCTGTGTCGGGGTAGCCGCGGATGAGGTAAGGCGGGTACAGGTGAGGGTAGGCGGGGTTGGGGGCCAGGTGCCGGGGCAGGTAGTAGGCAGCAGCTGCTGGGAGAGAGGGGGGCAGGGTCAGAAGGCGTCAGTCCGCCTGTCCTTGGGCCCCCCAACAGCATCTCCCGAAACACCCAAGACAGAATCGAAGCCTCTATGTAGAAAGACACGTGCTCCCTAAAACATATGGGGGGGCCTCGTCGACAGTGTTCTTGGGATCGAGGTTCTCGCATACACGGGGCATCCTAAATGGGGGTCGCCGAAACACCAAGGGGACGCACCCTTTACAAAGATTTCCAGGTCCCATCCTTCTGGGACACCCCCCCCTTGAGCCCTCCCGAGACACGTTTGCGATCCTAAAGGCCCCCGGGACACGGGAGCCGCGGAGAGATGCTTAACCCAGCGCACCCCTCAGGCGCCTGCAGGAAGTTCCTGCCCACCAGCTCGCACGGCGGCACTGTGGGCCTCCCCAGCTCTAGGCCTCGGTTTCCCCGAAGAGCAGGGCCTGGCTGACGAGCGAGGAGCCCCAGGGCGGCCCTGCTGAAGCCCCCGGCCCCGCGCTCTGGGGCCCCGGGGGTCCAGGACACCCACCTGCATCCAGGGGGATCCCGCGGGGAATGGAGGTGGGGTCGAAGGCGAGCGGGATGTGGCCGCGGTAGAGGTCCACGCCGCTCACTCCCCGGAGGAGGTGCTCGTAGGGTGAGATGGGGTGGGGGTGGTGCTCGGGCACGGCGCTGTGCGGGGACTTGGCGATCTCGCGGGGCGTCGACGTCAGCTTGCGGTCCTGGGACGCCTTGCTGGACGAGAGGCTGCCTGTGGACGGGCAGAGCGGGGCTGGCACCGGACCTCCGCACGCAGGTGCGCGGGGAGCCACGGTGGGGAGCGAGCCTCGGGTCCCCAGACCAGTGTCCCCATTCACCCGCTGACTTGCCTCCTAGTTCTCTCTCTTTTTAAAAAAAATCATTTACTCATTTGCTTTTTTCTTAAAAAAAAAAAAACCCAAAACCAAAACAAACCCCAACATTCTTCACTTGTTGCTTTAATTCATTCATTCATTCGTTCAATCAAAAACTATTTCTGGAGCCCTGACCACATGCCAGGCACGGTTCTGAGAGCTGGGGCTTTGCCAGGGGAGGGGCGGACAGAGCTCCCGGCCCCACGGAGCTGACATGAAGCAGAGGCAGATGACACATCAACCATCAAGTAGGGACTCCAGAGCAATCAAAGCTCGGAGGAAAAAGAGAATGTGAATGGATGCGACCACACTGGAGCGGGGTGGGGGGTATTTGGTCTCAAGAAGCCTCCTTGCGGACGTGGCTTTTGGGCAGAGACGTGAACGATGACAAGCCAGTTAAGGAAAGATCTGGAAGGTGGGGGGCACTCCCAGAGGAGGGCACAGCGCATGCAAAACCCCCAGAGAAAGAGGAGCTGAGTGCAGAGCGGAGGCCGCAGGCGGGCCCAGGCGGAGGAAGGGCCCGGCTCAGCGGGGCTCCTCCAGGCGTCTCTGGGCTGCGTGGGAAGGGCCGGCTTCCCTTCTCAGTGCAGCGAGAAGTCGCTGGAAATACTTAAGCAGGAGAACAGCATCATATGGTGTAGGGTTTTCGGAAAAGTATCTGGCTGCCGCTTGAAGAGCAGGTTACAGCGGGCGGGGGCGGGGAAAGCCGCGGGAGGCCAGCTGGGGAGGGTGGAGGTCTGGGTGGGGGTGTGGGGGAGAACGCGGAGCAGGACTGGGAGGCAGAGCCCACAGGCGTGGCAGGCCGCACGCAGGTGGTGGCCCGGAGACACCCCGGTTTCCGGCCTGAGCCAAGGCTGGACAGTGAGGCAGGCTCACCCCCCCGCCCCCTACCCGGCCCCCTGCCCCCTACCCCACGCACCCTCCTGAAGGCGTGGGGTCGGCTCCCGCGTGGTCACAGGCGAGCCGCGGGGCAGGTGGCTGCTGAAGGGCGCCCCGTGATCCTCATAGGTCAGGGGGCTCTGCCGCGGCTTGCCCAGCTCAGGGACGATGACCGGGGCGCCCCGGGTGATGGAGCCCCCTGCGCCGCCCACGGCCCCCGGCCGGCTCTTCAGGCCCTCCTCGTAGCAGGCTCGCTCCAGCGCCCGCGCGTCGGCCATCGCGTCCAGCGGGTGCACAGGCGGGAAGCTGCGGCCGGGGCTGCCGATGATGGAGCGAACGTCGTGCTTCTTGGAGCCGGCGGAGGACGTGCCCGCATCGTACTTGAGTGGGGTGCCCTGCGGGGCGACAGCACCGGCCATGTGACTCTCTGGGTCGCGGCGGCTCGGCCGTAGAGCGGGAGCCACGTCCCACGCCTGGGAGGGGCCTGCCCCGCCCCGCCCTCCGGCCCCCAAGCCACTGGGGGCAGTGGAAGGCACAGGGAGGTCAGGCCTCCCTGCAGCGTGCGTGGTTTGCCAGAGCAAGGCCTCACACCCCATCATGGGCAAACCCTTCCTCCCGACAGCTGGGGACCCTCCGCATACCCACTGCCGAGCCAGGAGACCCAGCAGCCAATTCCAGTTCCGCCGCCCAGGGGCCTAAGGCCAGGAGGTCAGGGCGGAGGCTGCTGTCTGCTCTCCAGCCAGGAAGGGCAGCTGAAGACATGGACGCGTCCCAGCCCAGCCCGCTGGGAGCAGGCCCCGCCCCGTGCAGACAGGCTGGGAGACCCAGATGCACAGGGACCCTGAGTCTTTGCAAGGAACATGATGCCATGTTGATGCAGAACTCTTTTAATTACTTTCATAAGGGGAAACGCCCTCATTTTAAAGAGAACGTTCTAGAATCGGACCAGTGCCCCTGTTTGCTGCATGATGGACTCTTGCCCATGGCCCGCAAGTGTTCTCCCCCGGGGCCCCCACCCTCCTCGTCCGACCACGGGAAGGGACCGTGGCCCACAGTGGTCCCCACCGACCAGCTCCTCCCACAGTCAGAGCTGATCTTCCGCCTCTGGCGGCGGGGGGCGGGGGGCGGGGGGGGGCGTGTGCCATGAAGCAATGGTGCTGCAGATTTGGGGGGGGCCGCTGGATTCGAGGTTCACAACAGCCATTTACTTGCTGCTGTCTGACCCCGGACAGGCCGCTGGCCCAACCTCCCTGAACTGGCTGGTGCGCACACAGGGCGGAGGTGCAGGGGTCCCGCGGAGCGCTGGCGGAGGGCCGGCGAGCCCCGACGGCCCGGCCCCCAGGAAGGGCCCTGCCGGGGCCGCCCGGGAGCGTGCGTCTGGCTCTGGGCCCGGAGCCTCTCCCCGCAGGCTGGGGGTGGGGGCAGGGACCGCACAGGCTTCGATGGCCCACACGAGGTCGCGGCTGCAAGCCCTCGGCCTCGTGCCCCAAAGGCGCAGGACCTAGGCCGGGCGAGCAGCAGCCGCGTGGCCCTGGGACTCAGCTTCCCCCACGGCGGAGGCCAGGGCGGCCCCCCGCGGCCCGCGCCCTGGCCCGCCCGTACCTGCGTGATGGAGCCCTCCTTGAGCGGCCGGGGGGCCAGGGGCAGCTCCGGCGTGCGCCGCAGCTCCTCCCGCGGGATCTCGTGGATGGAGCGGCCTGCCTCCTTCACCGTCGCCACCAGGCCCTCGTGCGCTGGCTTCAGCTTCAGGGGGCCCAGGGCCTCCAAGGGCCGGGCCTTGTAGGCCTCGGCCAGGTCCCGCGGGGGCGGAGGGGGCGGCGGCGTGCCCTCCAGCTTCAGCAGCTTGGCCTCCCGGCGCAGGTAGTCTTCCTGGGCCTCCACGTAGGACCGTGGGATCCCTGCCGGCAGGACAGGGCGCGGGCCTCACACCTGGTCCGGCCCCCAGGCCCTGCCTACCCTCACCTGGGGCCTCCACACCCGCCGGGTCTGGAGCCGCGCACACACACGACTTGAGCCCTCTGAGCCCCAGGGTCCCCGCCGGTCGGGGGCCTCACTGCAGTGGCGCAGGTGAAAAGCTCAGACCGAGGCTCCTGGGGGGGGGCTTCCCACGAGCCACAAGCCCAGCTGTCTGACCTCCAACCTCCCACTGACCGCACCTCCTCCTCCACGCTGTCCCGCAAGGTGAGGGACAAGCAGTGCTTGGGTTGGTGCCAGCCCCAGGGTGGGGCCCCGCAGACGGTATCTAGAGCGCAGGGCACGGTGGCACTTCGCTCTTCTTTCCGAGTAAGAAGTGCCTTGGCTTCCCACCCGCCCGGTGCAGGGGCCTGCCCGAGCACGGTCCCTGACGGGCGTCCACCCCCCGGCCCCGCGCTGGGGCCGCCGGCGCCGGTACCTTGGGTGATGGAGCCGCGGCTGTGGTGCTGCTGCTGCTCCTTGAGGTGGTGGGGGCTGCGCCGCTCGGGAGGGACAACGCGGCCCATGAGGCCTGGGGAGCAGAGGGCGGGGCCTCTTCGCGTGGGTCCTCAGGCCGCGACGGGGACCGGGGGCTGCAGCCCTCCCCCCGAGGAGCGTCCCTACAGCCACCCGCAGCAGACCCCATGAGGATGGGGCTGGTGGCACAGAACCCCGCGAGGGGGGGCCCCGCCTCCAGGGCCCAGAACGGGCTTCCGTTTCCCCGCCTGTGAAACAGCACCGGCCACCCCACTCCGTCCCCGCAGGGGGCGCCGAGAGGCACATCCCGCTGCCCGGGGGGGGGGGGCCCCGGCCCCCGCTGACTGGAGCGGCGCGCGGGCGGGACACCCACCTTCGATGCCGGCCGAGGTGAGGGTCCTGCCGACGCGGCCCTCCATCATGTCGTAGGTGCGCTTGGGGGCGGCCGTCTCGTGGGGGGGCCCTGAGCTGCTCCTGCTGTCCTCCTTGGAGCACTGGGACACAGACAGGCCACCTGGAAGCCAGGCCCAGCGCTCGGTGAGGGGCCGGCCACCGGGCGACCGTGCGCACAGGCAGGGACCAGCAAGGTGGTGGGGGAGGCGCACAGCTGGTCACCAGGCCCCTGGACTGTGTGCTCGCCTGCGCTCATGTGCACGTGTGCACAGATGCGTGCGGGCGCTACCGCAGGTCCACACGGGAAAGCACGTGTCTGGGGGCAGGAGGGACAAGGGGCGTCCCTGGCAGAGGTGGCCTTGCCAAGCCGGGATGAGCCCAGTGGGACTGGGACCTGCGGCCGGGCTCACCGCCCCTGGCGGGCCAGGGGCTCCAAAGAGCCGGAGCCGAAGGCTCGGCGTCACACTCAGAGACCGCGGGCCCGGCCCGGGCACCTCCCAGGACCCTCGAGAAGTGGGTGGCGTTGGCTCTCCAGGCCGCCAGCCCTCCCCCGCCCACTTCCCCACCCCAGCCCGCTGCCCTCGGCTGCCGGGCGAGAGCGCACGAGAAATTAAAAGCCCATTTTGCAGACAACAAACTTAACCCCAGAGGCCCAGGAGCCGGTCGAGGGGCTCGAGGGGAGATTCCACCCAGGGCTATGCCCCCAGCACCTCGACCGCTGGGCCCTCGCTCACTCCCAGGCACCCAGGCTGGCGCCGCCCCCGACCGCCTCCACCGCCTGGCAGCAGGGCAGCACGTGCCCAAGGCACACGGTGCTGCCCTCACTCCCAGGCCCAGGGTGGGGGTGGGGGGCGGCCAGGCACAGGTGGAGGCGGATGGCGAGGGAGAGGCGCCCGCCCCCTAGAGAGGCAATCAGGGCGGCGGGCTGCCAGCTGCGGAGAGGGCGCCGTCGGCGGCTTTTATCTCCACCCCCCGGGTGCCCCGGCTGCCAGGGAGCTCTCGTCCAGCCTCTACTCCCTTAACCCCTTCCGTGCGGGGCCCCCCGGCTGTGAGACCGAGAACCGGGGAAGAGAGGGGCCAAGGGGCTGGGAGCAGCGTCCTGGGGTGCAAGGACAGGCGGAAGGTCCGTCTGGACGTCACCGCTTTGGCCCCCGTGGTGTCAACTAGAGCGCACGGCGCTTGCCACGGGGGCTGGGCTGGAGGCCCGGGCCCCCGTTTCCCCACGGCGCTTCCCACAAAGCTGGCTGCAGGCTGGTTTCCTCAACTGTGACGACCTGGGGCGGGGGCGGTCAAGGCCCCCCCACCTGCTGTGGGCTTGGGGACGCGGCGCAGGGAAGCCGCCGCCTCTCTGAGCGGGCCACCTGGCGTCCGCCCGCCCTGGCTCCTCCCCCGATCCCGGCCGCCTTTTCTCTTGAGCGGCCAGAAGGGCGGCCATGGGCCCCCGTGCCCCAGCCTCCTCACCGGCACCAAGACGCCCCCTACTCCTGCCCCGGCCCCGCCCGGCGGACGGAGGGGCGCACCTCCCCCATGCTTTCCCAGCTGGCTGCCCTTTAGCCCCAACCCCGCTCTTCCGCCCCCATGACCAGCTCCTGATACCCCGGGGCTGGGGCTGGGTGGGCGAGCTCTGCGGGACAACGCGGGGTTAAGAAGGCGATGTCCTGTCCCCCGGGGGACCTCGGACGCGGCACCCTGAGCCCCCGCGGTAGCCATCTCCCCGTAAATCGAGAGCCCTTCCCGGGCAGCCAGGGCCCGGGCCAGGGGCAGGGGAGGCCCAGCATCGCCGCCACTGGGGGCAGAACTCACCCTCGTAGGACAGGATGTGGCCCTTCTTGCCCTCGTAGATGACGTGGCCCTTGGGCAGGCCATCCTCCCGACTGCGGTCCAGGCGGCTCGGGCTGTCCTCACCGATGATCCTGGTGATGGTGCCCTTGTACAGGACGTCAGCCGGCGTGCCCTGCGGGGGCGGGGGGGTGAGCGCCCGCCGGCTCTGGCCAACGGCCCCTCACGCCCGCCAGAGACGGCGTGGGCCCGCCCAGCACACGCACAAGCGCTCCCTCCACGTCGGCGCACAGGCCCACCTGCGCTGGTAGCAACCCACCAGGGGCAACCTCCAGGAACACGCGTGTGGGGGTTGCACGACACTCTGGAGTGACATTGTTGGAGGTCGCACCACAGCCTGATCAACAGTCTGCTGCGTGACCTCCACCTGCCCCGTCACTTGGCCTCTCTGAACCTCAACAAAACATGTCAACAAAACGCCCTCTGTGTCCACGACCCTCAGGGGCACCTGGCGCAGAGAGGCGGTCCCTGGATCGGGGTGTCCCTCTTTTCTGTGATTCTGAGAGCCCAGTCAACAATGCGGGGCCCTGCTGTGCGCGAAGCCCGGGACCCAGAACACAGGGCCCCCTGTGGGGCAAGGGCAGCACCCGGCCGCCCTGGGCCTCGCCCCCCGGCTCTGCGACGGGGAGGAAAGCGAGGCGCCCTGGAGGCGCACGGCTTCCCCAGCGCCTCCCTGCTGCGCCCTGCGATATCTGTGCACGGAAGCGTGGTATGTAAACAGGCATGAATCTGGCTGACGATCCGCCTTGCGCGGCGAGGGAGCCGGCGGCCCATCGTGCGGCAGAACAGGCGGAACCACACGGCCAGCCGACTTCTGCCCCTGGTGCACGCTCGCCGCACTCAGCGGAGCGGCCTCTGAAAGGTTATGGTTTCAAACCCTTCAGATTTTGAGGAAAATGGAGCCCGAATGACCCCTTGGTGGCGTGGCCTGAGGCCACTGGGGTCAGAAACACCTCGCCGGGGGCCGGCCTGCGGCCTGAGGCTCCGCCACCAAGGTGCACGTCTGGGTGCACACGTGTATGAATTCAGGTGCCCCATTCCCCGGCACCAGCTCCCGAGCCAGGCACAGCTGGGCACACAACCCTGGGTCCGGCCGCGACGGCTCTGCGACCTCAGGGTTCACTGCTGAGCCTGTCTTCCCATCAGCGAGATGAGGTAAGAGCCCGGCGTCTATACCGAGGGGAGCGCCCTGTGTGGGGCCGTGGGAGAGGAGGGAAAGGAAGCCGGGGGCTAAGGGCCCTGAAGGCAGCCGCACCGTGTGCTGCGCCGGCCACAGGTGTCGGGGTGGGGGGCAAAGGCGGGGGGCTCTGGGTGCACCGGGAGCCCCGAGCCCAGGCCGGGAGAGGACTGAACCCCATGGGGATGGGCGCGGGAGAGCCCGCCTGCAAACCCCGGTGGGGCGGGCATCGCGCGCGCTCCCTGCTGCCTCTGCAAGGGGCGGACCGCCTGGCTCCAGCCCTTAGGCTGCGAGCACCACAGGTCGCCGCTGGCGCAAGAGGCAACTTCTTCGTTTTCTGGCACTAAAGTCGTAAATCGAGACGGTTCCGGGCCAGCGAGGTGCAGGCTTAGCTTAGGTGCCCAGTGCCTGCCGCTGAACCCTGAGACACAGCCCGGGCCCCACAGCCTCCCTCTCCAGGCACCATGGCCCTGTGCCGGTCCCTGCCCAGGCCGGGACCCTCCCGCCTCTCTGGCGTTGCGCCTGCTGTTCCCTGGGCCCGGAGGGCTGTTCCCTGCGCTTCCGGCAGGGCCCTCGGCCTCCGCGGCCTGGGTCGCCCCAGGCATTCTCACCCACAGTGTCACACTCGGTGGGAGGCACCGACGACTCTGCTATCATCCGCTCGGCGCTCACCCATTCCCTGGTGGCCAGCGGCCTGCTGCTCCCAGGCCGGCCCCTAGGGGGCAGCAGGTTTCGTGTCTCACTTGGCACCAAGTGCTCAGGGTGAGTGGCGGAGGCATCAGCTGCTGTCCCAGGAACCCCTGCCAGCCCCACTGAGGCAGGTGCCATGCGACCACACGGAGGGGACAGAGGGCCTGGTCCACCGCTCTGTCCCCAGTCAGGGCCACCCCAGGTGCGGCCCGCGGGCCCCGCCCGGCCCCCCGCCGTGCCCCCAGCACTCACGTGGGTGATGGAGCCGCGGTAGGTGCCGGGGCTCTCGGCGGGCACCCGTGCACTGGGGACACCCTTGCTGATGCTCCCGCCCGGAACTGAGCCCAGAGACGTCCCTGTGAGACAGGAGATCCAGGGCTGAGGAGAGTTGGGGACCAGGGACCGGCGCCAGGCCCGACAGCCACCGGCCTGTGCTCCGGGGACCCTCACGGTCCCCATACAGAGGGGCCTCTGGCCCTAAATGGCGAGGCAGACGACAGTGTGGGATAGAAGGTCCCACCCCACCTCAACCCTCCAAGGACTGGAGGGGCAGCCGCTGGGGCCTCGGGGCAGACGCCTGCCTCACCTCTCAGCACGGACGTCTCCTGGGCTGTGGGCACCCCCAGGCTCTCCGGCGGCCCAGCCTGGCCCCGGGGGGACAGCTGCTCCTGCTTCACTCCGCTGAAGGGTGCTGGGGACGGGCAAGGGCTGTGAGCCACACGCCACTGGGACCGGGCCCCCCCCGCCCCTGCCCGGGGCGGGCACTGTGAGGGGACCTGGGGCCAGCGTCCCAGGGACACGCTGGCCGCCCCCAACCCCCAGCGCGGACGGCTGGAGCCCAGCCCTGGCCATGCAGGGAAGGTCCTTACCCAGCTTCTTGGGGTCCATGGTGAGGGGCAGCCCCATGGTGATGGGGCCCACAGGGACCTTGGCGTGCTCGGAGTACGGGGCGTGGAGCTGCACCGACAGGCCCTGCGGGGACAGACGCCGCTGGGTCACAGGCCCCGCAGTCCCTCCGCCGCAGGCCCCGGCCCGACCGAGCGCCTGGACGCCCCATCGGACGAGGGCCCGGCGGGGCCTCGGGGGCCACAGCAGGTCTGGGACCCGGAGCCGCCGCGCCCCGCCCCTCGCCCGCACGGTGACCCCCGTGACCGGGTGCTGTTTCTGGAGGACGGTACAAGCGGTCAGGCGGCCAAGCCGACCGCTCGACCCCCCACCCCGCCTGCGTGGGGCCGGCTGTGCGTCTCGCACCCGGGATCTACCGCTTCCCAGAGCGGAGACCAAGGCACCGGGAGGCTGAGGCACTTGCCCGAGGCCACGCTGTGTGGCTGCAGAGCGCAGACACGTGACTCTGCCTCAGGGTGACCTCCTAAGGTCCCAGTCCCAACCCAGACCTCCCCGGTCCCACGGCCCCTCCCGCGTCACCGGGGGGCGGCACTCACCTGCCTGTCGAGGACGCTGGGGTGCTTGCTGGAAGAGATGAGCGGTGGGGGGTTGGAGATGGTGGGGGGGCGGGGCAGCACGGGCCGGGTGCTGTCGTGGAGGCCCAGGGACAGCGGGTGGCCTGTAGGGCACATGTCTGTCGGTCACAGGCTCCCAGGGTGGCCATGCCCCTGCCGGACGGATTTAACCCCCGTGCCTGTCCTGCTTGGGGGGGCGCGGTGTCCCCGGGGGGGCCCCCCTGTGCTGCTCCTCATGGGCTGCCTGTGTCCTCGGTTCAAGCGCCACCCCCACCCCAGAAGACCAGTCCACCAGGCGTGGCCCAGGCCCTGGCCCATGGCCCTCCGCCCTCAGCCTTTGCCCAGGCACCTGAACTGGTGTTCCCACTACCTCTTTCCCCTCCAATAGCCAAGTGCCCTTACAGGAACCAGAGGGGCCCTGGGCAAAGTCTAGGGGTTCACATCCTGCCCCTATTGCGAAGCCCTTCCATGGCCACTGGCACAGCTTTCGGGGCCGCTGGACCCGGAGCTGCCGGTCGCCCCCGGCTCCCGGGGCACCCGGCGTCCACCGTGGCGGCCGGATTCTGCCCCTCGAGCTGCCCTGCTCGTTCCCGCCTCTGGGCTGTGGCACACGCTGTCCCTCGGCCCGGCACGGCTTCCCTGTCCTCCGGTCTCGCCTGGCCCACCCCTCCTTCCGGGTGAGTTCTGCGCAGCACCGCCTGCCCCCAGCTGCTGGGGGCCCCGCAGGGCTGGAGAACCCCGGAAGGACCTCGCGCCCGGCCTGACTGCACCCGTAAACCAAAGCGGCCCCGCCCTCCGCGGGCCTCCTCTCCAGGGCCCACCCTCGGGCCCTGAGGCCCTGGTGGGCGACACAGCGGCCCTCCCCAGGCCGGCACCGCCTGTGGCTCCCAGTTACTCAACCCCAACCCGCAGCTTCCGCCAGTCGCAACAGACCCCGTCCTGTGCCTCCACGGCCAGACCGGCCCCACCACCCTCAGGCCCTCTGCGCAGACTGCGAGGCTGCGCTGGCCGCGGCGAGCTACTCACCAGGCGGGGCGTAGGAGAAGGCCGAGGGGTCCGGGGCGTGCGGGGAGGCCTTGATCACCTCACGAGGGGGCACGGGGAAGGGCAGGCCTGGCGTCCAGCACGGGGGCTCCGCGGGCAGCTTCTGGCCCTCGGCGGCAAAGGCCGGGAAGAACACGGGCTTCTCTGCGGGGGGGACGCGGCGGGTCAGCTGTGCTCCGCCCGCGCTCGGCAGCCCCAGAGCCGTGCCACCCCCATGCAGACATGGCCGCTGAGCCCACAGCTCGGCCCTGGGCAGGGCGGGGTCCAGGCCGCATGTAAAGGCAGGGCGTCTGTGAGGGAAGCACCCCCGTCTGTGGGCCGGGCACCACTCGAGCCCCGTGACAGCTCAGCTCCGGAGTGTGTCCCAGGAGTGGGATGAACCTGGGACCCCAGGCAGCTTCTGATTCTAGCGCTGGGAGCCACAGGCCCTGGACCGGCGGAAGGCCAGCAGGGGCCCAGGACACGCCTCCAGACCCGGGGCCCGCGCCCAGTCCTGCGGAGCTGAGGCTCTGTGACGCAGAAGGTCTGGCCCGCACAGCCTAAAATGTTTACTGACTGGCCCTTTCCAGAAAGAGCTCGCTGACCTCTACAAATACATGCTGAAGGTGGTCAGACAGCTGTGTGAGCGTGTGCAGGGGCGGCCGGGAGCCCAGGACGCCGCGCCCCGCCTGCCAGTCGCCGCGCTGCTGCACCAGCAAGAACTGTGCAAACGCCACCAGTCTGCATGGAGACGGAAGCCCTGTCACAGCTGGGGACTCATCTGAGGTCACTCGCTAATATTTGGTGAGGTCAGGGTTTGACCCGGTCACCTCCTGGCCACGCAGCGCTGAAAACCAGGGTGACCAGGGACGCTGTCCCAGGCCTCCATGGACCTTCTGGGCACTGACCCCCTCACCCTGGCAACGCGACGCCGGCGAGGAGTGGACCGTGATGGTTGCCGGGTTACAGGTGGGACTTTGAGGCTCAGAGAGGGGAAGGCGCCCAAGCAAAGGCCAGCGAGTGGCCGCGGAGGCTTTGCATCTCGGGGTCAGCTGCAGGCTGGGACCTTAGCCTTCACTCCATAGGAAAAGGGCAATGAGTGGCCCCAGGTCGGGGACACCGTGGAGACACGGCCAGAGGCCTGGGGGCGCAAGGGCTACCTTCACGGCGGCCTTTCTGCTGAAGCCTGTCCTAAGCTCTGAGCCTCCTGCTTGAGGACCATCCAGGGGAGATCGTGGCTGAGAAATGGGGTGGGGACACGGCGTGGGCACGTCAGGCCAGGGACAGAGGGCGGCGCTGCAGGCCATTCTCGCCTGGGAGAGACTGGGTGCCCCACAGCGCCCCGAGGACAGGGGTGCCCACAGGAGGGGCCTCAGCCGCGAGGCTCGGGGCTTCTCGCCCTCAGCCAGCCCCAAGGGGAGGCACCCCCCGCCAGGTGCCAGGACACCCCGCGACCTCCCTGGGCCTCGCTGGGCCTCCCTGTGTGCGCCTCCGTTGCCTTGTGCAGGTTGGGGGTGGGGGGGTCTGTGGGGCCGGAAGGGAGACCTGGGGCCAAGCCAGGCCAGGCAGGCGGCCAAGGGCCTGGAGAGACAACCTGTTCCTTCCAGCTGGGCCCAGGGGAGCTGAGGGACCGGCCTGGCTGAGCCGGTACACCCGGAGGCCTGGCGACCAGAGTTCACACAGGTGCCTAAGGGCGCCAAGTGCGACCCAGGCCTCGAGAGAGGGGCGCTCCAGGAGCCCGACGCCCGGCATGTCGTCCCTCTGGGCGGGGAGCTATCTCAGGACGCGGCACCGCCACCATGTAAATGGGCCGAAAGCCAGACTCGGACACCGCGGGCGGTGGCTCACATCCTCCCGGGACGTGCCCCGGGCCCCCAGGGGCAGCCCAGCCCAGCTCGGACCTGGCACCTGCAAAGCTGTTTGGGTCCTGACGTCGCTATGCAGCTATGACCCCGGGTGGGGGCCCCAAACCTGGAATGTCCTCTCAGAGCCAGACCCCGCGTCTCTCTCACACTGAGCTCCCGTCACGGGGCGGCCGGGGCCCTGCGCGGGTGGCAGGGCAAGGTCCCAAGAGAAGGCGCTTTGCCCTTGTCCCGTCGCCCGGCTCGCCCTCTGAGACGAGCCCTCGCTGCCCGCCCCCCACGCCCACGGCCCCTTGCCGGGCACCCGGGCTGCCGCCACCCCAGCCGGGACAGCCTTCTCCATCGGCCTCGACTCCTCGTCCCCCTTCTCCTCAGCAACGGCCGGACACAGACTTCGCGGGGGGTGGGCTGCGGTGCCTGCGCCGCGCCCACCGGGGGCCAGGCTGATCTGGGAAGCGTGCTTTGGGGGCGTGGGCTTGGGGTGTCTGGGGCCCAGTGCGCAGTGGGGCAGAGGCAGCAGACCCAGAAGAGGAACATGCCCCGCCCGCCTGCTGACTTAGCCTCAGGCGGTGACGGACAGCGTGCCCCAGCCAGCTGCTGGAACGCGGCGGCTCAGGGAATCACCCCGCCGCTCCCAGTGCACCCAGCGACCTCGGCCTGGAACAAGGTCACAAGGGGAACTGGACGGGGCAGGGCTTCCTGCCCGGGCCGCTGCCAGCTGGGCGCTGAGCCTCGCCTGTGGTTCTAGAAGCTCATGCGAGGCTGAATCGCACGCGAGGAATCAGCAAAGCCTAAGGCACAGGCCTGTTTGTGGGCACATATGAGGCTTTCAAATTTTGAAACGTGGCCAATGTTGAGACACTAGAAGATGTCACGTGGAAAGAGAGGGTTCTGGCCTCTGGAAGAAAAACCTCAGGCCCATGCTGCCACATGGCGGCTCCTGGCGGAGGCCATGATGTGCCCACTGCAGGACGAACAGGAGGTCGCTGCCGCCGCAAGCCCCACCACTCCCTACTGCCTCACTCCCACGGCTTCACTTGCTCACCCACGTGGCCTGCTCCACAACAACATGCAGCCTCGACGCCTGCAAAGCTGCTCCGGACCCACAGAGCCCCTTATCCCTGCCCATCGGCCGCCGGCTCCCTCAAGCTCCCTCAGCCACGGGGCACTCACCTTCCTTCTCGGCAGGGGGCACAGGGCTCCTGCTTTTGCCTCGAGGGCTGCCGCCGCACTGCTGGGAGGCGCTGCTCTCTGGCTGCAGGTGCTGCGTCGGCGCTGGGGCGGGGGGCGCTGTGTCCTCCCGGGGAGGCTCGTGGGCTTTGGTGACCTGCTGAAGGAAGCAGGGAGCAGTGTGCACCTTCGCAGGCTGACTCTGGGCCCCAGAGGTCAGGGGATATCTTCCAGGTCCCTGCACGTGGCCGGCCCGGAGCCAAGGCCAGAAGGAGGCAGCAGCAGCCCAGGGCACACAGCGCGAGGGCCAGGCCGGCAGGTCTCTGCATGGAGCCTGGGGAACGTGCCCTGGATCCCGGCTGCCTGGCGGTCGCGGCCTCCCCACCCGGGGCAATGCCACATCTCCCTGGGTCTCAAAAGAGCTGGGGGCTGACCAACGGGATGGCGCCCAGCCTCTGGGGGTGGGCAGCGCGGTCGGCACGCCCTGCGCCCTCACTGAAAAGCCCCGGTCAGCTCGGCGTCTCGGGCCCCAGGGCCCTGCTCCGTCTGGAAAGGCCAGGCCCTGGGGCAGGGGCCGCTGCTTGGCCTGGAGAACCTTCCAGAGCCGCTGGCTTTCCCCGAAGGACCTCATGTTTAGAACTGCAGGGGCCCCCACCCTTCTCTCCGAGGCTGTCACAGGCCGGGATTCGGGGGGGCGGGGGTGACTTCCTGTTTTCGCAAGGCCCCATTGCCTGGCGCTGGGAAAGCCTTAGCAGGTGAGGCAGGGACGGAGGCCCCTTAGGGAGAGTGGAGCGGGCTCCCGGGGCCTCTGAGGGGGCCGCCGGGGGACAGAAGAGAGGAGACCTGCAGGCCCCGTTCCCAGGCTCCCCAGGGCCCCGCCCTGCGCCGCTCCTGCCTCATCTCCATGGGGATTTCTCCAGGAAACGGGAGGCGGCTGGGAAGAGCAGCCTCAGCCGCCGCAGGTGCAGCCCCGCCCTCCCCAGCCGGCTGGCCCGCTGCGTCCCGAGGGAGCGAAGGTCAGCCGGGTCAGCTGGGTCAGCGGGGCGGGGGCTGCAGCTTCGCTGGCGGGAGGCGGGGCCTGGCACTCACGATGGGGGGGATGGCGGCCGCTCGCTGCTTCAGCTGCTTCAGGTCCAGCGGCTTCTGGGGCGAGGCGTTGGTCCTGGGGTCGCCGGTGGGGGTGAGGAGGCTGGGGCGCGGGGACAGCAGCCTGAGGGGAGACGAGCGTCAGGCCCAAGCCTGGCTCCGGGTCTAGGCCCAGGGGAGGGGCGGGCGACTTCCGGGGTCGCCAGACCGCCGGCCCCAGGGAACCAACCAGGTCTCGGGGGCGGGGAGCGGGGAGGGGCTCCTCCCTGCGTTCAGGGAGCCCCTCCACCCCCAGCCGGAGGCCCCAATGGGGACCTAGCACTCCCTAGGTCACCCCAAGGCGAGGAAGGGCCCAGAGAAGCCCCAGCTCAGGGCCCGCACCACGCACAGCTCTTCGGAAGCCGGCAAAGCCACAGATGCAACCAGATCAAGGCCCGATGGGCTCGGGAGACTCAGGCAGCTGGCTCACCCCCAAATACGAGGGGCTCCAGCGCCAGGGCAGGGCCTTGGGCATGCAGAGGACTTGGGGACCCCTCTGGCTTCACAAGAACGTTCCGCTGGCGGGAACCTCGCTCGCATACCATTTACCGAGAAGCTAAAGATGGCAGGGCTGCAGGGTTTTGCGGAGAAGCTGGTCAGTGTGTCCACTGTCCACCCCCAGCCCTGACTGTGGCCGAGTTGCTGAGCTGGACCCGTGGGCACCTTGTCCCCAAAGTGAGGCCGTGGACACGCAGGGCCGCCTGCGGCACCCGGCACCCGGCAGCGCCTGCCCTGGCTGGGGGCGGCTCCCGAGCTGCTCACAGCGTCGCCTCCTTCGGGGATTTCCCAGACGCCCACGCCCCGGGACCAGAGCCCTGCCACGGTCCCTGTGTGGCTCCTGCGCCTGCCCCCGGGGCTGGCGGATCCCCACCCAGTGGGACTCCTCCGGGTGACCTGCACACTCGCCGTGCTCACCACTGGCCCGGCCCTGCGCTTGGGGTGCACGGAGGAGACCCGGAATCTGGTGTCGGCCTGCAGGGCCCCGGAGGCAGCCGGAGGACCACACAGCACGGGAGGGCGTTGGCTGGGGGTCCTGTCGGCACAGCCCCAACGGGACGCTGTGACCGTACCGATGCCACGCACAGAATGCAGGCCACAGCCCCGACCTCGAGGTAAGACCAGGGACGACCAGGACACACTCACGCCACCCAGTGCCCCGCAGCCAGAGCCCGATGCCCGACAAAGAACAGATGGAAGGAGCAGGTACGTGACATTCAGCCCCAGTTCCCCCTCCCGTGGGGGGGGGGGGGCCACAGCCTGCAACCAGCCAGACCCGAGAGCACCGGCCTCCACCGCATCTGCCGCACGCTCGGCTGAGCGGACGGACGCGGCTGCCCGCGGCAGGCAGCGGGCGGGGCGCGGGGGAAGGTCATCCCGACTTTGCCGCGCTCGGCGGCCTCCGCAGTCCTCCCCACGGGCTCCCTGGCCCCGTCCTCTTCTCTCTCCGCCCCCAGGTGCTGCTCGCACCCCGAGGCCTCCCCTGCGGCCGCTGCCCTTCCTGGCCCCCCTGCCCCCCTCAGGCCGGCCCCCTGACCGAGTCCAAGCACAGACACTATCCCCTGCCCGGGCGACCCCCGGCTCCGCTGAAACTGCCCCCAAACCCAGCCACCCTGCCCCTCATGGGGACGTATCACCCTCCGCTCAGAACAACGCGCAGCTGTTAACCTTGGAGTTCACAACACACGCACTGCAGCTGCTCTGGAAACCAGTCGGACAGCGGCTTGGGGAGTGAGCTCCCGCGCTGCGGCCGGAGCCGGCGGTTCTGCTGCTCGGCGTGTGCCCGAGAGGAGGACCGAGCACTCGGGTCATGGACGCCGGGTCGCAAAGACCACAGCGGCAGCCAAGAGGAGCAGACGACCCACATGTCCGAAAACGGACGAGGGGGGAAACGGGACATGGTCCATCCGCACGGGGAATACGACTCAGCCATGAACAGGAACGAACTCTGACACCTGCTGCAACGTGGGCGAACCTCCAAAACACACCAGACACAAAGGCCACATACTGTGTGACGCCAAGTATGTAAAATGGCCAGAGCAGGCAAATCCAGAGAGACAGAAAGATGAGCTGTGGTTACCAGGGGCGGGGGTAAGGGCAGAAGAGTGACTTCTAATGGGTATGCGTTTCGGGGTGGGGGGCAGGGGTAATGAAAATGTTCTGGGATTAAATAGTGCTGGTGGTTTCACAACTGAACATGCTAAAGACCAGTGAACTGCACACTTCAATGGCTGAATTCCACATGCTGTGTAAACTATATCCCAATAAAGCTGTTACAAAACAAAAACAAAGACAACACTTAGTACACACTAGACAGAAATCAAGGAGTGATTTTAGCTGTAGTGTCTCTAAAAACAATAAAGTAACAATGTTACATCACTGTTTGCTTTATAAAATTTTAGTTAAAATGTAAACTCTGCTATCTGTAAGTGTAACTTTGTAGAGATAGGAGTGAGTTTTTACAATACACTTACAGCAAAGTGCCTGCGCCCACCGGCTCTCAGTGACCCGGGCCCTCTGCTCAGGCCTCGGACCTGCCCTGGCCTCCCCAGGGCTCCGCACCCCGGTGGCGGCAGACAGGAGGGGAGGGTGCACCGGCTGGGGAACGCCCCCCGGGGGCCAGACAGGAGCTCTGCACAGGCTGAAGTGTGGGCGCCACACTCCACGGGGGACAAGGGGCGCCGCGTGCCAGCCTGACCGCTCGCTGCAGAGGAGGCAGCAGGCGGCAGTGAGGGCTGTTCCGGTCCAAAGGAAGGCCGCACGTCCTTCAGTGCGCACCTCCCCCGGGCCTGGCCTCCCGCGGGCAGTTCGTGGCGCGCGCTCCGTAACTTCAGAGCCACCCCCAAGTGGGGACATCCACCCCCGCCTTCCAGAGGCGAAAGCCGAGCGCCGGGGCAGGGACCTTCTGATGGCCCGGCCCTCCCAGGAAGTGCCCGGGCACCTTCTCTGGGAAGTACGGGGAAGGGAGGGCGGCTCAGGGCCTGCCATCAAAGCCACTGTCTCTGGTTGGAGGCCAAGACAACTCCGCGGCGCAGCTGCCTGGCAGTGGCCGCGAGGGCAAGCAGGGTACGGCTTTCTCTCCCCAAGTCGCCCGGCTGGCCAGGACCGGCCGTGTCCCGCGCCTGCCCAGGGATGCCCCGTTCACTGCCTGGGGCTGCCAGGCAGGGAGGAGGGCGGCGGGCAGGTGGCCAGGGCCCAGGGCCACCCGGGGGGCCCACACTCCCCGTGGCCCTTCCGGGAGGACCAGGCCGCCAGGGCCCGCTCTAACGCACCTCTCAGCCGGGCGGGGTGGCGGGCTGCCAGCCAGGAAGAGGTCAGAGCAGGCTGGCCAGGGTCCAGCCTCGCCCCGAGGGCGGGGGACTGGCCTGGGTCACACAGGGCGTGACAAACCAGGTGTCCTGACTCCCCGCCCGGGACTCCTGCTCCCAGGGGATCGAATGCTGGACGTGCAGGCGGGAAGGCTGGAGGGCAGCCAGACCCAGCTGGGGAGGGGAAGCCACGTCCCCGCGCGCGGCTGTTGGAGGGGCGGGGAGAAGCCGGAAGGTGCCCGTGGGGCCGCAGGCCTGGCCTGAGAGGGCCCGGCCGCCCCCCCAGCTCTCTGGCCTGAGCCAGCGCGTGTACCCAAAACAGACTCCAGCGGGCCGCTTATCGGGGTGGCAGACCCAGGAGCTCAGCGCCAACCCCGCTGAGGACAGAAACGTGTTTCTGTGGCTGCGCCCAGGCCCGCGGGAGCGGGTGGGGGGGAGCTGCCCGCCCAGGCATGAAGGGCGGGGCCCGGCCGGACCCTGGCCACAGGCCTGCCCTGCACACCGAGCCACCGAGAGCGCTGTCTCCTGAGCTGCGCCTTTTGGGCAAGAAGCTTGGGAAACCTGCCCCGCGTGGGGACCTGCTGGCCAGGCCTTTGCTAATCGAAGGGCCGCTCACTAGGCCATCTGCGTCTCCTGCCAGCGGCGGTCCCCGAGAACTGCAAGACACGGGAGGCAGAGGCCACCGTGGCTCACCCACTTTTGTGGAACAAACAGAGACCCACAGAGCGCTGGCCGCATCCGATTTTCCTATGGAATGTTCTAGAGCTTGCCATTTTAACATGCCCCGAGGTGAATCACGGGGCAGAGGAAACGGCTCCGAGGGAACACGTCGGATTAGAAAGTCAGATTTTCCTCCCTCTCGCTCTGCCCAGAACTTTTCCGAAAGACATGAGGAGAGAAAGCAGCCCGCACTGTTTTTAGTCAAAATAAGAGAGACCTGCCTGCTGCGCGGGAAGGCGATTCCCCCAGCTGCCCGGGGCCTTGGGGTCCCCAGGAGCTGGGCAGAGGCAAGAAAGGGAGGAACGTGTCCCTAAGGCTCAGCTCAGCTGCCACCTCCTGGGGGAGCCCCCCACAGAGGACGCACTCCCTGAGGGTAGCCACAGAATCGCCCATGCTGCCCAGGTATACAGCTGGTGCTTAAGAAGTATTTGCAGAATGGAAAGGTCAGAGCCAGCCCCCGCCCCCCAGGGCCGGTCCGCTCACCTGTTCTTGTCACTGCCCTCTGGCTCGTCCACCTCGTCGGCACTGCAGGTGGCACTGGAGTCGCTGTCCTGGGGGGCGCCCGAGCCCTTGGCGGAGGGGGCTTTGCCTGCAGGGCCTCCTCCGGCCTCCTTCTTCTCCACCTTGAGCGCTGGCTCTGGCGCTGTGGGCTCGGCACCGGCCTCCACGGCCCCCTTGCCTTTGTCGGGACCGTCCTCCGCGGCCTCCTCCTTGCACTCCGTCTTGATGGGCTCGGCGGGCGGCACCTCGTCTGGCTCCTCCTTCTTGCCCACATCCACTGCCAGTTCTTGGGCCACAGCCGGCTTCTGCTCCTCCCCCTCCTCCACCGCCGGGGCCGCTGCGATGGCCTCCTCCTCCTTCTCCTCCTTGGGGACCACAGGAAGAGGCGCCGCCGAGGCAGGAGCAGCCAGCGGGGGTGTGGGCGAGCCGGTGGCTTCGGGGGCCGGGGCCGGGGCCGGCTCGGCGGGGGCCGGGGCGTCCTCCGGTGGTGGGGTGGGCGGCTCAGGGGGTGGTGCGTCGGCACCCGGGGCGGGTGGGGGCTTGGGCCCGTTCTGCCCGGTGTCCTTGGCCGCCTCCGTGCGGGGCGAGGGGATGCTCTCGGTGTCGGAGCTGTTGGTGACGGCAGCTGCCGGGGAGAGCGAAGAGCAGATGAGCGGGGGGTGGGGGGCTGGAGGGAGGAGGCCGACGCTGCTCCCCCTTCCCTGGCCGCCCGTCCGGACTCCGGGCAGGGGCTCAGGATGCAGCGGCCCTGTCCCCTGACACCGAACAGCCCAGAGGCTTCTGTTAACTACCCTGGCGGCTTATCAGCCGCTGTGGCATCGTCACCGGCACCCTAGCCCAACGGTGTAACTGGGAGCAGGGAGCTCAGGGGAACCTGGGGAGGCAGCGACGCCGGCTGCGCCCCTACCCGTCTCCCGTGGGGCCTGGTACATGGCAGGTGCACGCGTGTGCAGAGAGCAAGGGGGCCTGAGCTCCGGGCCGGGCTCCTGGGCCTTAGGAAAACCACTCCTGTCACTCCTTTGGGTTTCAATCCCTCCATGTTCTGTGCAGTGGGGACGTTTAAAACCCTACGCTGGGGGTTCCCAGCCCCCAGGAAACTGAACCAGGTGAGAGCCACGAACAAAGACACCAGTGAGCGTCCACAGGACGGCGGAGCCGGGCACTACGATCTGAAGGGAGGAGGCCGGGAGGGCCAGCGTGGGAACAGACCTGCCCTGGGGGGGGGTGCGGAGGCAGCGCCCCGGTGGGTCGCAGGCAGAGGCACACTCACGGGGGTGGGGCCCCTTGCAGAGGGCAGTGACATCGGATGCCCCCCGCCCCGCCCCCCGGCCAGACGGCCACATTCGTACCTGGGCCACTGCATTCCCCTCTGGGCACCTCGATCCCAGAGGCATGTAAGGCTGGAAGGAAGTGAGAGAAGGGTTAGGAGCCGGGTACCGTGAGCCGCGGGAGGGAGGGAGGGAGGAGGGGGCTGGCGTGGCCAGGGAGGCCGGGCAGGGGGCCCACGGGCAGCGCCAGGGACCTGCCGCACTGGGTCAGCCGCCTGGCCGCCCTGTCCCGAGAGCCCCCGTCCTTGGACCGATGCACCTTCTCCCTCCAGACCCCGGACACCAGCGGCCCCAGGGGACCTGCTGGAGCCCCGGGCCGATGACAGGGAACTGCAGGGTGAGGACCGAGTCCCGCCCAGCCCCGGGCAGCCCTGGCAGGCCACTGGCCGTCCCTGCTCCCCAGCCCCCAGACCGCCCCCTCAGATGTGGAGCCGGGCCAGCGGGGGCGACCCTTCTGGGAATAACCCAGTGACAGTAACACAGGTCTGCTCTGGGGGTGCCGAGCCCCGGACACACATGACCCCGTGGTCCCCCATCGTCTCTACCGTGGCGACACTCATCGCCCTGTTTGCAGGTGAGGAAACTGAGGCTCAGACACGTGAGGTCACTTGTCCAAGGCCATACTGCGTGGAGGCAGGAGCAGGTTGACCCCAGTAGCCTGTGTCCCTAACCACTGGGCTTCCTGCCCCTGCCCGCTGACCCCAAATGCCATCCCCTGCCGTTCATACGACCAGACCAAGGACGCAGGGGCCAGTGCCGAGGTCTGAGGACCAGTGTCTTCACCCCCAGGGTCTCAGCCCATTCATCTTGCCACGTCCGTTCCCGGGCGTGAGCCCAGAGGACTGTGGGTGCGGTGGCTGGGCCACCCCCACACTGGGCCCTGTTCGGTAGGTCCAGCGGAGGCCCGAGAATCAGCACTTGAACAGTTTGAACCCTGACCTGCAAACCGGCCAACAGTGTGGCCTTGGGTAGCCGCTGTGCCTCAGTTTCTCCATGTGCAAACGGAGCGATAACAGCACCGACTCCCTAGGGTTTGAAAGACTAACTCGAGGCTGACGCTCTTATTCCGACCATGGTCTCCACTGGGGACACTGGGGGGCCATGTGGGTCCCTCCTGCCCTGAGCAGCAAGGCCTTTGCCGCCCGCCCCCTGCAGGGCGTCTGTAGGGGCTGGCTGCAATTTCTGGAAGGTTCTACCGGGAGGACCTCAGGCCCTCACTCAGAACCTGCCTCACCTCCCCTATCCTGGTCTCGGGAGACAGGGATACCCAGCAAATGCTGGCTGCCTGGGGAACGCAAGTCTCCCGGTTACAGGACGCCCCGCTGGGCGATGCCCCAGTCCCTGGGCCTCACGTTCCCCATCCACGAGATGGGAAGGCCACTCTGTCTTTCCCTTTGTGCAAGGCCTTCTAAACTGCCACCCTCACTCCACTCAGGGCCCCCCGGCGGTCACAGAAGCCTCAGCTCCAGCCAGACAAGTCCTGCCGCCACGCCCCACGCCTGACGAGGTGGGCGACCCTGCGTGTGAGCCCACCGACACTCAGCTCTCTCCCTGGGCAGCTCCGTCTGGTTTCCCTTCGCCCCCACTGGGCCTGGCGGCCCGCCCCAGACCCTCGCCAGGCCTCGGGCCAGCTTGGGCAGGGAGGCCTCCTGAGGCCAGACTCAGGCGCCACACCTGTCCCCAGCCTGAGACAACAGCAGCCGGGGGTCTGATGCTCCACCGGAGCCTGAGTCTGGGAGGTAGGATTTGGGCCCGTGAACGCGCGGGGGCTGGCACAGCAGCAGGCACCGCAGGCCCGGCTCTCAGAGCTGGAACACACGCCTTCCTTCGCGACGTGGCAGCCTGGGCTTGGCAGCGCTCATACAGGGACAGGCCGGCGGGGGCAGGAGGAGAGAAGGTTCCGGTGACCAAGAACTGAAGGGCCCAGACAGGGCAGCTCTAGGCGGGGAGGTGGCGGAAGGAGAGGCAGGGACGTCGCGATAAGCCAGGGGCGGGGTCCCCAGAGGCCCGTGCCAGGGAGTGGGGGCAGGCCCGGGGGGAGGGGGGCCGCAGGCAGACTCATTAGGGGTCAGGAGCGGGGCAGCCTGGGGCAATTCCTGGATCTAAAGACACTGTCACACTGTTAAAAGGTGCAGCCAAAATCCTCCTTCTGAGGCCTGGGCGGGTCCCCCAGTGCACCCCCGAGGGTTCGTTTTTGCTCTCGAGCAGCCCCCACGGGGGGCGCGGGGAGGTGCAGCCACTCAGCTGCGGGGCCCCGGGGGGCTGCGCCAGGGCGTGTGACTGCCCGAGCCTCCGCTCCCCACAGATACAGGCACCGTGTGAGGCGCAGGCCACGCTGGCACACCTGGCAGGGCAACGGGGCACCATAATTACACAACCTTCAAAATATCCACCGGCCACTAGGTTGGTTCTACTTACACTGCTCAGCTGGTAAACAGTTCAGGTCAAAACCCGGGTCACAGAAATAATGCTTTCGCACAGTGTGACAGCAGGTGCCCCTAGAGCCGCCCGGGGCTGAACTCACGGGGGTCCGGCGGGCTGAACAGACAAGCGCCCCGCAGGCACAGAGCAGCCGGTGACCGCCCTTGTCCCCTGCACCACCACCACCCCCTTCGCCGCCATCCTCGCGACCCCAGTCACACCTGGCTCTCCGCTTCGCGGCAGCCGAGGCCCCTCCCGAAGGACCCAGGCGTGTCTGGGAACGGTCAGCTCCTGTCGGCCCAGCCTCACCTTCCGCCTCCTCCGCCATTTCCTCCTCGTTTCCGCTCGCTCCCGACGCCTCCATCTCCTCGTCCTCCACCGCAGGCGGGAAGGCAGCCTCCTCGCTGGCCGCGGCCGGGGCTTTCTTCTTCTTCCGGCGCGCGTTCCTCTCCTTCTCCTGGGCGCAGGGGAGCAGCAGGTTAGGGCTCAGGCCTGGGCTGTCAGCCTGGGGATTCCGTGCTGAGGCCTCGCCACAGCTGCGAGGGGACAGCGATCCCGGCCACAAGGCGGCGGGGGTGTCCCGCCCCCGTGCTCCCCACCGCCGCGGCCAGACAGGCCGGGGGTTATTGTTACCCAGGGCTCGCTTCTTCCATCGCGTCCCGGGAACACCCGGGGGGCAGCGAGCCCATCGGCAGCCCCGACCCCCCTCCAGAACAGGTGAGGAAGGGTGGCCTCCCCACCGAGACCCTCGCGGGGTGAACGCTCGCGCGAAGCTCCTCCCTGCCCATCCCGCCTGACCCCACTGAGCTCGGGGACAGGCCTGCCTGGGAAGCTCATCACTTCACTCCGCCGGTGTTTACAGGGCACCTAGGGTGTGCGGCCACCGCACCAGGGCTGGGGACACACACGAGTGGGGCAGACAAGCCCCAGGCCTCCAGGGTCTGCTGGTCCGGAAGGCCAGCAAACAACACCTCTGTTAAACAGACGACGCAGGGGTGTGGACACAGCTGCAGAGGTCAGAGGGGGCGGGGCCGGACAGGATGGATTGGGGGGGTGTTTCTCCCAGGAGGCGCCAAAAGGGAGCTGGTGGGCAAGGCTCTGGGTGCGAGCGGTCTGGGCGCAGGGGCCGCAAGCACGACGGCCGGAGGCGGGCACAGCCTGGGCGTGTCTGCGGGCAGCACGGAGACCCACCCTGCCGAGCCTTTCGCTTCCCTCGGCGCAGCGCCCTGGTCCCCAGAAACCCGGCTCCTCATGCCGGCGCCCAGAGCCCACCGCCCAGCCCAGGGCCCAGCGCCTGGGAGGCAGGAGCGACATCCTAGACGCCCACCCCCCGCCCGCCGCGGAGACAGGCAAAGGCTCAGAAGGCGTCTGCTGACTGGCCTGCTGGGTGGCTACAGAATGGCTATGTCTTGGGCTTGAACACCCTGTGCAGTGTTCGGGGAACTGTGGAGGCAGAGTGTGCGGGGGAGGGGGTCTCCCGGGGACCAGGAGCTCCCGGGGGGTGGACTGTACCCCGAAACAGCCGTGTGAGCACCTCTGCCTCCGGGGGAGGAGACGGGACCCAGAGCCTGTCCACCCAAACCTCCGAATGCGACCTTATTTGGAAATCAGCTCTTAGCAGATGCAATTAGTTAAACCCGATGAGGTCAGACCAGATTAGGGAGGGCCCTCCCCCCGACGACGACCGGTGTCCTTATACGAGGGGAGTCTGGACGCAGAGGCACAGGGAGGGACCCGTCTGTAAGCCAGGGACCCTCGCGGGAGCCGCCGCCACCAGAAGCAGGAGGGGCAAGGCAGGGCCCTGCCGACACCTGCGTTTTGGACCCCTGGCCCCAGAGCCGCAAGAGAACGAGTTTCTGCTGTTTTACACCCCCAGCTGGTGGCACTTTGCTGCAGGAAACAAGAAACTAATGCACCTCCCTGCCCTCCGCCCCCTGCAGGGCCCCAGGGGAACGCCAGCCCAAGTCACCACACAGCACAGCCCGCTCTCGGGGCCAAGGCCAGGGGTGCTGCCCACCCCGCCCCGCCCCACGGCCTGGCCTGGCGGGGAACAGGCTTTGCGTCCCCGGGGCCCAGCCCCAGGGAAGAATCACTTCCTGTCCTGCCTCCTCCCCGAGCAAACAGGGGTCCTCAGGGCGCAGCCGCTGGGAACGCCAGGAGGAAAAGGGAAACGTCGCGCGCCCGTTAGTCACGGCTTCCGTCACCAGTGCTGGGCCACTGGGCCAGAGGGCCAGAGCCCCGCCCTGGCCAACGCGCGGGAGCAGGACCGCCCAGCCCGCCACCGCCCACTCCCAGGGCAGCCCTAGCCCTGCCCCAAACCCCAAGCTTCCCCTGCGGGCCCCCCACCGGAGCCCATGGAGGTGCGAGAAAACTGTGTGGCCGTGGCTTCTGTGGGCGCGGCTGAGGGTTCCCCCTTCTTCCCCAATTTGTTTTTGGGAGGCGGCAACTCACTCCGGCGCCCGGGACTGGGTAAGGCAGCGACCGGCTGCCCGCGCGGCGAAAGCCTCGGGAGCTCGGGGCCACGCAGGGGGTGGGGCCGCCGTGGGCCAGGCAGGAGGCACGGCCTCCAGGGGAGAAGGTCTCTCGGGGAGGCCCCCCGAGTCAGGCGGGCCAAACCGGGCGAGCGCGGCAACAGCCGAACAGCCACACCGCTGGCTGGGCCCGAGGGGCTGGGACACGCTGGGTGGCCCGGGAGTCCCAGCAGACCCTCCCACACGGCCCTGCACCCCGGAACCTGGAGGTGCGCACGGAACAGGGGCTGCATGGGCCTGCTACTAGTTACAGGTGATGTTTATTAAGCAGCTACTATGTGCCACGCGGTTCCCAGATATTAACTCCTCACTGGGTCTGCACAGCCGCTGAGCAAACCTGAGCACGCTGTTTCCTGCTTTAAACCCTGCAGGGGATCCCCAAGTCCCCCGAAATAAAACCCCAGGTCCTACCTGTTCACACAGCCCTGCCTGACTTAGAGCCGCCCCAGTCACGCCGCCCTGCCTGTGCAGACCTGCACGCGGTGTCCCGGCCACGGGCCGCTGCCTGGCCCGCCTCCTCCCAGGCACCTGCTGACTCACTTTCTCACCTCTTCCAAGAGGCCTTCCGACACAGCCTGTCAAAATCGGCTGCTCCTGGCCACCTGTCTGTCCGGCTCTATGACAGCCCTGCTCTCACCACCTTCAGACCACAACGCGAAACGGTCTGTGTGTTCACCTGTTGCCCAGACCAGCGCCAGCTCCTCCAGGCCTGTGCTCTGCGCCCCCCCGGCCCCTCGGCGGCCCTGTGACTGCTGCTTTAAGTGAATGACCCTGAGCGACCACCACGGTGTCTCAGAGAGGCTGAAGACAGTCCCAAGACCACGCGGCTCAGGAGTCCAGCGGCCGAGATTTGAAAGCAGGCCAGGTTCAAGCACTTCCCTGCCTGGGTCACCTCTCTCCCTCTCTTCCCCGCTCCCCCCTCCTTTCCTCTCTCTCTCTCAACAGGCCTATTTGGCCTCAGATGGAAGAGACAACAGAGGAAAACAAGGCAAGGCCGGGCCAGGGCCCAGACAAACAGAGACGGAGAAACACGGAAGTTGAGCCTCAGGGCCCGGACTCACAGATGGGAGAGAAGGGTAACCTTCGGCCAGAAGGAGGGGGAGGGGAAGCCTGGAGAAGACACTGTTGCCAAATGTTACATAACTCTGGACAGCACGGCCCGCCCGATCCTGCTTCCTGCTGACGTCGCCGCGGCCGTACTCGGCCAGGCCTGCTGCAAGGCGCAAGGGGACGCACGCTGACCCTCTGCTTCCCCCACTCCTTCCTGCCTGGCTGAGGGTGACACGTCTTCCTGTGCTCCAGACGGGGCCTGGCCAGCAGCCAGAGGTGGCTGCCACGCATCAGGATCCACGAGGACCGGTCTTCCTCCTGGGGACTGCAGGGTGGGGGGAGGGGCAGGAGGCAGAGGTCGACGAGTTCAGCAGTCTCTCTCGCGTCCCCTGTGTGCACTCCAGCCCCGGGGAACGCGCCCCCGTTTCAGGGTGGCTGCAGCCCCGATGAGCGGCCCCGCCTCCGCCTGATGCCCCAGGGCCGGTCCCCAGGTCTGCTGGCTGGGCTTCTCCGCAGCCCTCAGGGGAAGTCTGCCCTTCGGGGTCAGCCGCGCGAGAGCCAGCCCCTCGCTCCAAACCGCCCTTTGTTGTCCGTGAGGCATCAGCGAGGCTCGGCTGCCTGTCAGCCTCAGACCGCAGTGGGCGGCCCCCACCTTGGGTCCCTGCTCGCCCCGCAGGAGCGTGAGTGGAGGCGGCCTCTGGGCTGGGGTACGCCACGCTGGACTCTGGGTGCTCTCCTGTCCACGCCTGCTCCTCGGCGGCCAGGGCTGCTGCCCCCGCCGGCACTCAGAGGGCGGCCTTCCATGGCAGCCTCGGCTGCATCTCGCTCGGCCTCGGCGGGGCGGCCCCTCGGCTCACCGCCCTTCAAGGGTGCCCACTGTCCAGGAAACAATCACCCACCCGGAAACCCCGCCCCCAGGCGGGCCCTCGGGCACCTGCCGCCGCATGCACAACGCACGAGGAGGGGAACGTTCCACAGGCTCTGAGTGCTGGCCCAGGCCCGGGCATCACCTTTAACCCAGGAACCGTCCGTTCCTCACCGCAGCCGTCGCGAGAGTCCCAGGGGCCCTGTTTCACGGAGGACGTCGGGCACAGAGCCTGGGGCCAGGTGCCCACAGGCACCGTCACGGGGGCCGGCCCCCCCTGCCCCCGGCTCTGCGCTGGGCTGCCTGTCGGAGCAAGCAGCCACACTGGTCCATCAGCCAACTGACTCGCCACTCAGCCCAGGAGCAGGCGGCCATCGAGGGAGCTGGGACGGCCGCCACCAGGCACTTGGAGCCAGACGCACGCCACCACCTCCACCAACACCGCTGGGGCCCTCGCTCGCGCGGCGTTTCACGCTCAAGCCACCCCCACCACGGCCCTTTGAGGGGGCCCTCTTATTATCCCCCTTTCAGGTGGGGAGACTACGGCCTGAAGATCAAGCCGCTGGCCTGTGGCTGCGGAGCTCGTACGTGGCAGAGCGTGGGTTTAAACGCGGTCTCTTGGGCCCAGAGTCCCTGCTCTGGCTATGCTGCACCGGGGCTCTGGAACGAGGTGATGGCGAAGACGCTGCCCCGACAGCACCCCCTGCCCCGGTTCGCAGCTGCACGTGGGCGGGGTTCGCCCTCAGTTCTCGGGGCAAGGAAGGGCCTTATGCCCCCATTTCACAGAGGAGGAAACTGGGGCTCAGCAGAGCCAAGCTGCTGCCCAAGGTCACACAGGCGCCCAGCCACCGAGCCAGGACTTGTCCCCACGTTCCCCTCCCTGAGCTCCAATGGCGCTCTCCACCTTGCTGGGGTCTCTGGTTCTCCGACCCCTGCTCTCAAGTTCAGGGGCCCCCGAGGAAACCTGGAAAGTGAGGCCTGAGGCCAGCAGGCTGCGGGGAGGGGGGGGGTGTGCAGCGATGCCCGTAACCCGATAGCCCAGCCTGCAGGCGGCAGACACCCTGCGGCCACTGGTGGACACCAGCTCAAAGGAGCACTGAATGGGGGAGGGGGGAGGGACAGGAAGGCATCATTTTGTGCCTGGGTGATGCTCACAGCCACCCTCCCGCCCCCCACCAAAGTTCTGAGTTGGCGTCCACACAGGCTGATCGACGCGCCCGCCCCTCCCCTGGCCCCCGGCTGCTTCGGCTCAGCACCCTCTGCGAGCTGGGGATTTCAGCAGGTGTCAGGGACAGGTGCTCGGCGCCCTCGCCCTCCGGGCCTTCCTCCTTCCCCGTGGAAACCAGAGTCCTGGAAACCCTGGGAAAAAGCAGAACCCTGGCGCGCACAAGGGTGCTGCCTGAGGCTCGAGGAGGACGGGGACCCATCCTGGGGCCCCCCTGGAGTAGCACGTGGGCAGAGAAGGCATGACCTCACCGAGCGTGACGGGGGACGGGCCGCAGGCGGGCACCGGCCTCAGCCCTGGCCACAGCGGTGTGCCCAGCGCCCCTCTCGAGCGCTCAGGGGGCCAAGCCGGGCGCCCCGAAGTCTGCGCGGCGCTCCAGGAGGGTCCAGACAGGGGCAGCCAGGCCCTGCCCGCCACTGCCGTGCCCTCAGCTCTGGGCCTCGGCGGGCTACGTGGGGGGCAACGCGGCGCTGCCTCCCGGGGGGCCGCACAAACTCTAAACCCTGCAGCAGGCAGCCCGCGGTGGTGGCGGGCGGTGGGGGGGGGGCAGGGCTGTGCGTTCCCCTCTGTGCAGCCCTGCCGGCCAAGGGCATGGGTCCTTGGGTTCGAACCCAGGCAGCCGTGTAGGAGCCTGGCTGGGCCTCGGTTTCCCCCATCCGAAATGACAACAATGCCTGGCACGTCCCAGGTGTGACCAAATTGAGGGGAGAAGAGACGGCGGTGGGGGGAGAGAAAGCAGGGGCCCTCCCTTCCAGGAACAGCTGCGGAGGAAGCAGCCTCTCCAAGGACACCATTTACTCGCTGAGAGGGGATCGCCCTCCCCGGGGGCTTCTGAGGGAGGGAAAGGCCGCAGCCTCCCCTGGAGCCCAGAGGCCAGGGCTGGGCAGGCTGCCCCCTGGGCCTGCCCCCCCGCCCCTGCCTTCGGGCAGCCCCGAAACCGTGAAGTCTAACAGGGTGGGGGAGACGCTCGCGGGGAGTGCGTCTGTCGCTGGGTCGACATTCCGATGAGCTGACAGCCACAGACCCCGGGTGAGTCAGCCGGCCTAAGCCCCCAGGAGTCCCAGAGGGGTGCTGGGGGCGGGCGGGGGTGGCAGCCTCTGGTGGGCACGCCTGCCCATCGGTCCGCACACCCAGGAGGGAGGCTCACAGCCCGGATTGGCCCTGCAGCGCCACCCGAGCAGCGTCCCACGGAGCTGCTGGGCGCGAACCGGGAGGGGCCGCCGGGCGCAGCCCCCAGGTCTGGCTGGGAGCCCGGGGGCGGGCAGTGGGCGCTCACCATCTTCAGCTTGTGCTGCTGCAGGATCTCATCCAGGTTCTGCCTCTTCTTGTAGTTGAAGTAGAAGTTCTTACACTGGGACACCGTCTTGGAGCCCACCATCCGGGCGATGGCCGACCAGTTCCGGCCGTGTTCCAGGAGACCTGAGGGTGGAGGGCGGCAGGTGAGGGGCCGCGCCCACAGCTGGGGGGCGGGGGGCGGCGCACGGAGCCCTGGGCAGGGAGCAGCCAGACGCCGGGCCGGAGGCTCCCTGCTCGGGTCTGAGACCTGGGGGGAGCAGTGGGGACACAGGGAGAGGGGCAGGGGCCCGGCCCCACAGGCTGCAGTGGGGGGCCTGGGCTCCAGGAACCAGGAGGATGGGGGCGCCTGCCCGAATGCGCCCCAGCCGAGGTGGCCGCCATGGGCTCTCGGGGCCGAGTGCCAGGCAGGCCCAGGACGCAGACCCCGCCGGGCCTTCTCCCCTCCTGCCTCCCTGCCGTCCTGGCCCGGCGCTGACTCGCACTCGCAGCTGCACACAAGGCCTCGGGGGGCCGCGCTGTTTTCCGGCTGCACCGGCAGGGAAAGGAAGGAGCGTGGGGCGGGGGGGCGAGCAGGGAAGTCCAGGTGGGGGTGAGCTGGGGCTCGGAGCCGCGGCACCCAGGTTAATGGGCCCCCAGGGCTCACAGCTCCCCGCGGACACCCTAAAGGTCCACCCTGGACTCAGACCACACTGTGCTAATCCAGGGGCTGGAAGTGGGCTTGCCCCCAAATCAAAGCCCCCCATCTCTGTGAGCCTCCCGACGGGGGGAGGAGCCCCCAGGAATGGGCCGACCCCACCCCACAGCCACCGCGGTCAAAGCAAGTTTCCTCCCTCCCCACAGTCTCAGGCCGGAGGAGTGCCGCCCCCTCCCCCGTTCTATCTTCAATGCCTTTAAACGCCAGGCTCAGCAAAAAGACAGCACCCCCCCGCATCCCCACTCCCCACCCCTGATCTTGAGGCAGCGCCCCGGGAAGCCTGGCCCCCAGGCTCTCGGCCCATCTGCCCACAGAGCTCCGGCACCCGCGGGCCGGTGTCTGAACGTTCATGCGCGTCTCCCAGCGGCGGCAGGCTCCCCGCGGAGGCCGGGCTGCCTGCACGGAGCAGGTAGGCCCAGCCCACTTCCCCACGGGCTGTGTGTGCGCGCGCGCCCGCTGTGGGAAGCAGGCTCTGGCCCCCAGGGGCTTTGGGGCAGGACCAGGCCCCCTGAGGGTGGCAGGCATGGAGCCTGAGTCATGTTGCTGGGAATGAACTTGGTGGCCTCTGAGCCCGGGGCTAAGCTTGCAACAACTGACGGAAGAGTTCCCATAGCGAAGTTTGAGGCCATTTTCCTTGAATCAAAGCGAGCTGCCAGCAGGGACCGCTACGACGGAAATTCTGCAGGGCCGCCAGGGCCCCGCGTGGGCTCTCTGCGTGCTGGCGTTCCTCCGGCGCGCCGTCCCTCCGTCCCTCCGTCCCAACATGCGCTGGTGGCTTGCTACGTGCTCGGCTCTAACGCAAATGAAAGAGCAGCAGCAGAAACGGCACCAGCCAACCAGCACGGCCAAGTGACCGGGAGTTTGCAAAGCCCTTCAAAGACTTGATTTCGTCTCATCTTTGTGGCGAGGCCACGACCAGCTCCCCTTCCCTGGGATGGAGGAGTCCGAGGCGGGGGAGGGGGGGCGGGGGGCACAGCGACTCCCAGGTGCGTGGGACAGGCCCAGGGACCCAGGGCTCCTGCGTGCCCACTTCCAGACCCAGTGGTGGGGGTGGTGCTGGACGGACGGGCCACCTGCTCCCCTGCGGAGGCCACAGGGCCACGTGGCCCCGCGGTTCCTCAGGGTTCCTCAAGGACAGGAGGAGGGGGAGGGCGGGCGTGGGATCAAGTGCAGCCCGGCCCCCTGACCTTTCCCTCCACCCGGGCCAGCAGCAGCTGCCACTTCCACAGAACCTGGCCGAGGACAACGGGGACGCGCGTTTATTTATATTTCCCCAGCCGGGGCCAAGAGAGCCCAGGCAAACACGTCGGGCCGGAACCCTGGGCGGGAGGGGGTGGGTCTCCCATCTGGGCCTCCTGGGGGTGGGCGGGGTGGGGGCAGCAAGCACCCAGAGGGGGTGGCCCGACCCTGGGGAGGCTGACGCCTCTGAACAGGCAAATAAATCAGGAACCTGGCTAGGGGCTGGGGAGGGGGTTCCCCCCAAGCCTTTCCAGAAACAGAGATGCCCCGTGTGAGCCCCGCACAGCGCTGCCCAGATGCTCGCCCAGACATCCTGTGTGGTCTCAGCCACCCCTCAGCTCTCGGGCCTCAGTTTCCTTAACTGCGGCAGGAAGGGCTGGGTTGTGGGCAGACAGCACAGGCTTCCTGCTGGTTCCTGTTCTTCGAACCCAGACCCAGGATGCCGGGCGCAGGGAGACGCACATCAGACCCCGCCGCATGGGGAGACCCCGAGACGAGACCCAGCGGCAGTGCCGCCGCAGCCGTCCACCTGGAGAAAACGCCTCTGGCACATGCCCACCAAGAGCCCCCAGGGCTCCCCCCGACCCGGGTCCTGCGCCCTTTCCCCGAGGAGCCAGCCTGACAGCCACAGAGGCGGGGGCGGGGGGGGGCTCTGAGGGAAAGGGTGGAGGTGGGACCCCACGGGCACGGAACTCCTGAGTCCCCAACCCTGGGCTGCCACAGCCGGTCCCTGTCACCACGGCCCAAAGCCCCCCGCCCCCCGCCCCCCACGCCACTCACTCACATCCTCTCATCTGTGTCTCCCCCTCGGCCAAGTTTTCCGGAAACATACGGCTTGGAGGGCGCTCCGGGGAGAGGAGCTGGGAGCAGCGGGCCGGGAGGCGGGAGGCTGGGCGGCCGCGGAGCCGGCTCTGGCGTCTGCTGGCGGCTCAGCTCAGCCTCACATCCTTCTCCTCCAACAGCGCCAGCGAGGAGGGAGGGGGAGGAGGGGGGAGGAGGGAGGGAGGAGGAGGGAGGGGAGGGGAGGAGGGAGGGAGGAGGAGGGAGGGGGAGGGGAAAGGGATGGGGAGGGGAGGGAGGGAGGAGGGACTGGGGGTGGGCGTTGAAGGGTGGGGAAGCAGGTCCTTGCTGCCTGTCTGGCCCAGGGCGCCAGCGCTGCTGCCCCTGATGGGGTCCCCCCACAGCTGCGGGCGAGTGAGGTGCCCTTTGCCGACGGGGGCAACCAGCCAGCGGGAAGCGGTCAGTGGTGTGCGCGGTGGCCCGTGCCAGGCGTCACCAGGGCTCAACGTCCGTGGCTTCTCTGGGCACCCAGGCGGGTGCTCCGCAAAGGGCACTGGCCTGGAGCCCCCGGACCCCCGATGCTTCTGCCGCTCAAAGTCCCAAGACCCGACCCGGATGGGGCCGCAGTGCCCGGCAGCCTGGAGGGGCACCTGGGCTCCGCCAATCTTCCTGCTGCCTGACCCAGCGAGACGCCTCGGGGCTGAATGTGACCTCCAGACAGAGGCTCGCAGGAGTGGCGGGCGGGCGGCGGGCGGGGGAGCATGGCAGGAGCCCAGGTTCAGAGGGGGCGGGCCAACTTGGCACTGGCTTCCCCCTCCCTCTCTTCCCATCCGCGGCGGCGCGTCAGCAGCGGTAAGAACAGATGAGGGCTCAGAAAAACAGCTTCTCCACCCGCAGGCAGACGGGAGCAAACAGCTCCTTCCGCTGCTGCTGTCAGGCCCGCGTCAGACCCACCTGCGGTCTGCCCCCCGCAGCCAGGCCCCCCCGCCGCGGGGCCTCTGGGGGTCGGGCAGGCGGAAGGGGGCTGGGCTGGCTCCGTGGCTGCGGGAGAGGTTCTGGGAGACCAGAAAACGGGGGAAGGTTCGGGGTTCCCAAAGAGCTCTCTGCTGCTCTTCGGACCGGTGCTTCCCTCCCCCCCGCAACCCCGAGATGCCCCCGGGACCTGTGCCGACCTGATCCCCATGCAGGCACCTGCCACAGATGCCCCAGCAGCTCCCGGGAGGTTGAAAGTTAACTGAGTTGAACTTTGGAACCAAATCCAGGTCATGACCGATTTTTCCAGCTGTAAGGTCACTGACCTGCTCGTCCCTTTCGCCCTCGGGCTCTGCGCCCTGCTCACAGAAATCCCCAAACAATAGGCCACAGATCTCGGAAGCGCCCTGTTCCAGGCCGAGCCCCCAGCCCTCCTCCTAGGGCGCCCTACGGGGGGGAGGCGGCTGGGGGGGGACACACAACAGCAGATCCCAACCGTGTCAGGGATCTAGGACTTCCCTCCTCCACAGGGAGCTCCAAGGGAGATTTTGCGGATGCCAATCCAACTGTGTCACTCCTCCCGCTCAAACCTTCCCCTGATGACCCAGTGCGCTCTCCGAGTCGAATCCAACAGCCTCGCGGGCAGTCAGCCCCACCCACCTGTCCCCCCTGCCTGCCGCCCCTCTCCTGGCTCCCGCACTCCGGCCAGGGGTGCGCCCCAGGGCATTTGCACTAGCGGTTCCGGCGCCTGCAAGGCTTCGCCACAGATCTGCCCGGGGTCCGGGCTGGCTCCGGGCCCCAGTGGCGCCTCGTCAGCGCAGCCTCCCTTGACCGTCCCCTGCACGGCTCCTCCCCCCGCCGCTTGGCCACCCTGGGGTTTATCATCGCTACTGGGCTCGCAGTGGGGGCTCGACCAATGAACAGACACTCCAGACCTCTGGGCCTGGGGTCGCTGGGCAGCTCACAGGTATCTCTACTACCTCTCCGGGGCTCCTGGGCAGTAGCTGCCCAGAGCGGAGGGGGCTGAGGCTGTGTACCCCCAGGGCGCCCTGGGGCAGCCCAGAAGAGGCAGGATGGGGCGCGGCCTTCCACCGGGGGCGCCCACACATGGGCTGTGCCGGGCCCAGAGAGCAGCCTCTGCCGGCCACTGCGGTCTGGATTCCCCAGCCCCACTTCTAATTTCTAAGGAAGGCGTTTCGTTCCAAGGAGTCGGGGGCAGGAACTAGGAAGTGAAACTGACCAGGACGGGAAGTCAAGCCCGGGAGGCCTGAGTCACAGGCTGCGAGTGGGGAATGAGGTTGGGGGGGGGGGGGCGGGGGTGGCTGCGAGGCGGGGCCGGGGGTGTCCCTCTCGGCCTGGCTGCCTGCTGCTCTGGCCGCCCTCACAGGGAGCTCTGCGCACGCGGTCCGCGGACACACCATTCTCATGGGGACAGTGA